TTTGAAGCTATCGTGTTAATGTCAGTGTTAACTGTAATTTCAGTTTCCGATATCTCTCCTGTTTTCTCTGTTTCTTTGTTTCTTAACGGATATCTTGGAAAATTATCTGGATCAACTCCTTGTTTCGACATCAGTCAGGATCTTAAAGCATCTCCACCAATTGTAAAAGTGTGGTTTTCGGTGGTTTTTAATCTGAATATAAGAGAGATCCAATATTGTCGTTTCAAAGTAATTTATTAAGTGAAGATGATCATTATTCAAATTCAAACATTAATAACAATATAACGTAAATACTATGTAAAGGATAGTGTAGCTTATAATAATATATATACATAGGGTGGTGTAGCATATAATAACAATAATAATATATGTATAATTTCAATGTAATACAATAGAGCTAACTCGCTTGTGAAGAGGTACAAGTTACTGATGTAGAATTTCTTAAATGTACGATCCTTATTAAATGTACCTAATAAATATAACTATTAAATCTTTATTAAATATAACTATTAAATCTTTAGTAAATATAACTATTAAATCTTTATTCTCTATTTAGCAACAAGTATTAATCGAAAATAACATATACCGTACTTTTTAGTCACTTATTATTTCCACTAATCTAAATAAAACATTTCTTTAATAAACAAGTAATCTATCGAATATATAGTACTTTTCCGTCTATTAAAAATATATATTGTAAAATATTCGCTAGAAGTTAAACAAGTAATAAATCATGTAAATCCTTACTTTTCCGTTTAATTTAGCGCGAACCATTTCTAATTATTTTAGACATTAATTATCTGTTATTGAAACATATTTAAACAAACAAGTATTTCGTCGACAAACGTACTTTTCCGTTTTAATAAATATATATATTGTAAAATATTCTCAAGTAATTAAACAAGTAATGAATCATATCAATTCTTACTTTTCCGTTTATTAATTAATATTTTACGTAGATGAAGAAATATCTATTAATGTAATACTCGATTCTACTAATCGTATTGATCCGATATAAAAGGATATAATTCTAAATCAAAGGTTAGAATAAAATATATATAAAGTTTAAACAATCAAAATATACATAGAGGCTTACCTGAATATAAGAGAGATCCAATATTGTCGTTTCAAAGTAATTTATTAAGTGAAGATAATGGTGAAAGTTTAGCTAGATATATTTATATCTTCCAAAAATCCCGGCAAATATTAGAGATGCCACGTGTTGGATTAATCTCATTTTTTGATTGGTGGAAGACCATTTACGGAAGACGCCCATTACTCGATACGAAATCTGATTGGCCGGATCTAGACTCGCTTGACTTAATATGTCAGGTAACGACAACCCGAGTAATAGCGTCAGTGTAATCCTAGGTATTGTTTTTAAAGTTAAAGCTGTCACCATTAATCTTACTTAATTACTTTAAAATAAACAACCAATAAAGGACCCTCTATTCAAGTTCTTCTATATCAGTATACCATTATATAATATGCTTAAGATCTATTGACACCAAATCAGCGTCAAGGTTGATTTATGCAATATAGACTCGACGTCTTTAATAAACATATATACATTTAAAATAAACTATATAATCTATAAAATATACATAAGAATAAAATATCTAAAATAAAATATATTGCATATTTTGTCAATGTACACTGTTACAATATCACCGGCAAATAAAATTCGATTGTCCATTTGAGTTCTTCAAAATAATTTAAAGATTTTCCAACCAGTCAGATCAAAAATATTGTCCAGCTTGAACCATCTAATATTGATTCATTTAATAATAAAATTTACATGGTTGAAATTGATTTTATCAATTTGAACATTACTTCAGAGAACAATACACCAGCTGTCTGAAATATACGATAAACAAGCAGCATTATGATATAATTTCATCATCCCCAAACTTAATATATGACAAATTTCTAGAAAATAATGCAATTATTCCCGGCTTGGTTGTCGATCCCCACTTCTAAAATGCAAGAGATTTGTGTTTCAAGATATTCATTGAGGCCTATTCTCGAAGGTTGATTAAAATAAAATGACCTGTTTCAACCCGTCCGTGGAATATTGAGAATCTAACAAAGAAGTAGAAGATTAGCCAGAAACAATATGGGATTTGGATCAGGCGTCTGTGTGCAACAATTCTCTTTTTCTGTATGATGAAATTCTACAGAAATTTGGGGACCTGTAGGAAATAACGGCCCCAAATATTCTACAGTTTCTGTAATGCAATGATATAGGTTTTTTTCTAAAGTTAAATACTATAGTATTTTATAGATGTTTTGTAGTGTGTTATGTAGAAAATTCTACGGTTATGTATAGGACGGAATACTGTAGCAAATTGGGCTCCTGAAGGCGCCCATTGGGGAAGAAATGAGCTCCAGAATCCAACGACCAAGAAACTGTGGACGGAGAGGGGCGACGGCAATAAACGTCCACATGACAATACAGCTAAAAATGAAATATAAAAGAAAATAATTACAAACAATGGAATACGATTAATGAGTAGGATGTCCACCATCGGTTATAAAGCATGTAGTCATACAAGATTAATGGCTTCAGGTATAATTGCTATTATAAGCAATCTATTGAAATCTGAATAAGATATTAAAACAACACATTGAACATTAAATGAATGAAAGAATTAATAAATGAATGAATGAATAAATGTACGAACTATATCCCCATTACAATACTATAGTATTGATGTAGGAATTGTTAGACTTACTATAGAATTCTAAAGATTTTTTTTATTAATTATTTTGGGAAAAGATATACTTGACCCATAATTGATAAGCTTATTTTTCCCCTCTTGGATTAATTTGAATTCTGTTGATGATTCACCAGTCGGAACCATGACAGCTTTTGTTCTTGATATAAGTGAAACATGGGGAAAATAGTTAAATGAAGTTATGTAAAAAAAATCAAAAAAAATCTCATAAAGCTTGTCTAATTTAATATTATTGTAGAGAATGTTATAAAATAAATTTATCTTTATGTCATTAATCATTTTTTATGAATTAATTAGACGTTACTATACTATAGGCCTACACATGAAATCTTCAACATTGAAAACACGATTTATTTGTCAAATTATATCAACATTCATGTTGTGATCTTACCGGAAAGAGATGGGCTTTTGATATCCAATATTTAAGACAAAATAAACATTTTACCATTGGTACACGAATCGTGTACCATAATGCGCTTCAGCCCCAGTTGTATCAAGAGACTCGAGGAACGAGGCTAGACACATTGCACCAAATCAAACGGCGTATGTAGACTGGAATAACCAGACGCTAGAAATAATTTGCACTCGCTTGAGACTGCTGGCTTATTTCGCCGAACATAACTGATTTGAAATTGGAGTAAAAACGGAAACCATTGAATGTAAATCAGTTTATATACATTCATATTACAGTTTTATATGCGTTGCGACCCACTCTTGTCAATTTCTAGGTCCAAAATGTTAGCGATTTAGCTCCTTTAAATTTCAGCCCATGACTGACTAAGGCTGTTAATTATTGTTTGACAGTTATACAGAATTGACCTAAATGGCTTCAACAGATTATATAAATTTCATCCAGTACATTTATCTGCTATAGTCATGGAAATCTAACTAGCACGGTACCCAACAAACTGACTGTGTTCAAATAAACTTTGTCTTTATTTCAATGAACTTTTTAAAAAATTTATTCAATATGACTGGGTTCTCATTAGGAGAATGATGATGCTTGGTACATAGTTTCACTAAATCAAGACTTAAGTTCTATCATAAGGATTTTAAACTTATGCTAGGAATAGATAAGCAGTTTGACTGTTCAATGTGATACTAAAAAATAAATGTGAAGTTAAGTAATGTGTAATATAATTACTCGGAGATTGTGCCAGGGCACACAAGCCTCACTGTTGGCTTGTTGATCCCACTTTTATGTAGAATTTAAAAATATTTTCTGGCAGGTGTTTTGAATACTCCTGATTTTGTGGAGGTTGAATCGGGAAGTAAATATACAGGAATTAGGGAAATCACCTACTAAACTTACGTCACAGCCTATAGATTCCTTCGACCAGGCTTAGAAAAATATGGAAACGGTCAATGCCCTTCAATATTTAAATCAGGAGATTGTAATACGTTCAACTCTTTGTAAAACACTCGAGTTTTTGTCTACGCCTTTCGAAGAAAGCAGGAGACTATTAAAATGGGCCTGCCCGTCTGTCTGTCTGCCCGTCCGTGTAGGTGTTTATTAGGTGAAACCCTTGATGGAGTTCGAAGATGAGCATTTTCTGCTTAAGGTAAGCTGTGATAAGCAATTTGATTGGTTGACGTTTTGGGACACGATAACTTTAGTTTCATTACATCATTACCTTGACTAAGTTCGATAATGAGCATTTTCTGCTCAGGGTAAGCAGAGCGATAAGCAATTTATTTAATTGGTCGAGACTTTGGAACATAACTACTCTGTTTTAATCGAGGTAGAATATTTAAACTGGATGTAGCTGTTCATTATGTGACTGAGTTCAATGATTAGCATTTCCCACTAAAGCTAGCAGGGATAATCAGTGCCATTGATTGATGCTTTGGGCCAAGATAACTTTGATTCTAACTGATGGAGAGGATGAAACTTAGTGTATAGTTTTCTACCAGGTAGGCCTACTTCAAAACCTTGACTGAGCATTTTCTGCTTAGACTAAGTATAGATAATCAGTTTGATTGCTCGATACTCTTGAACAAGATAATTGTGTAATTAATCTAATTATTTTGCGATTTCGGCCGGGGACATCAGCCTCACTGTTGGCTTTTTTTTTAATTATTATTCTAGCTTTCGCGCGCAGTGGTACTAAATGTCCGTTCTAGCCATAAACACAAAGTATTGATTAAGATGCGTTGTAATCGATAGTCATCTGTGTAAGATATTCCTCTAAACCAATAGTATGGACTCCTCCCAGTAGAAGTGTCGAGTATGGACGAATATTGATTAAGGTGCGTCGTAATCAATAGCCATCTATGTAAGATATTCCTCTAAACCAATAATATTATTTGACTCCTCCCAGTGGGAGTATACAATGGAAGCCACGTGTTTTTTTCCCCAGGTATCGTGCTATTTCTCATGAAAATCGATCGCTGTGGCCATCCACCTGTCTATAAAAAGAAGCAACAATGAGAGTAGGTATCAGATGTGTTTAACTTCAAGTTGAATTAATTAACCATGTGTGCTTTGATTCTGAATATAGTGGTAGCTTTTGCCTTGATGGCCTGTACTGCTAACAGCAAAAAATATTATTCAAAGAGGCGCGAAGTTAACCTGAAAACTGTATCGTGTGATAGAGTTGAAAAGTCGGATTTGTGTCACTGCTGTCCTGGTTAGTATTACTATTTGCGTTTGATTTATTTTCAGAACATATTTATAATTTGCGATAAATCAAAACTGATACCGGCCATGTTTAGATATTTCTATTTTCAGGTGTTAGATTAAAACCTGATCCGAATTCAATTCAAACTAATTTTGACCAAGTATGTCAAGTGGTAGACAACCTATTCGGGTTATGATAGATTATAAAGACTCGAACTAGCAATTATTCGCCCATTGACTTCAATTTTAAATGGCTGTAACATCGCAGGCTGTAGCTTTTTGCTCAACATCCCATTGATTCCAATCTTTATAAGGCACCACAGCGGACGACATTTAGCTGACTTATCATAAATTTTAATATCATCTTTTAAGTTCCGAATATAGAACAATTTAAGAGCTTGTGAATGTTAATATGTTTTTCTTCTCAAGAACAAATAGCACACGATTGACGAACCATTTTAATCAACTGTTTTTGTTTAGAAATTGAAATATTATCCAACGTAATGTAGTCCTGTACCAGAATCCGTACCGCAGGAAGTTGTCCGGATCAAGTCGCGTGACGCCATCGCCATCTTTATCTAAGATCGCTATTGTTTAGATTATTTGCTAGGGGGATTTGATTTTCACTGTGGTCAAAATGTCACTTTGACAATGATTGCGGTAGCACGATTTACCAAAACCACCCCAATCTACCCAAACCCACCATTATTTAAACTCATATAATAATTATTTAATAAAAATCATACTGTTCTTTAAGCCAAATTGACATTTTTAATTTAAAATCGTAACGTTTTGTTTCAAAAATGTCCTTCAAAAGGCAATTTCCAGGCAATACACGATTTCGTGCAATACAAGGGTTATGTCCTTTGATTACAAATTAAAAATGACAATTCTAGACCAAAAAGTGAAAAAAAGAGCGGAAAAGGGAAGAAAATTAAATGATAATTTAGTATAAAGAACAGTATATTATCAAATATCGATATAAATTATTATTATTGTCTCATAATTTGAAATAATGGTGGATTTAGGTGGATTTGATCCTTTTCTCCAATTCTAGACAAAAAAAGTGAAACAAAAATGCCGAAAAGGGAAGAACAAATTAAGCGAAAAATTGTCTATTTATAACTCACAATTTAAGTCTTAGTCCATATCGAGTCCATCTGCATAGTAGTAAATAGTACAACCCAGTTGGATATTATTAAATCGTCATGTTTAACCTTTATTTCAACAACGTGTAGAAAAAGGTACGAATCAATCTGAGGTACAAAGTGAGGTAGGAATGAACTAAGTACGAAACAACCAGGTTACGAAACAGCCTGCACCCGCGTACGCATGCGGTTGCTGCGTTTGTTTGAAAACCATTCTGTTGTCATTTCGATGTTGTGGTTTTTTCTTAGCAAAAAACCCTGTGTATGGATATTAGTCTCTGTCCTATTCATATCAGTATCAGCCCATCTTGTATTGTTTTTAGAATATATGACCATCATTTATTTACGTTCTAGTACCCAGAAAATATTCATTCGCAGTTAGTCGCTCAGGAAATTTAGAGGACTGTTATACTCATTCAACGCTATTTTTCGACCAATCAGAATCAAAGAAATTTCCATTTTGGGCTACAATATACGTTTGATATACCAATCCTTGCTTAAGCTAAATTCAATCAATTAGTAGCGTATGGATTTTTTTTTTATCAAAACGTTTTTGTATTTAAAGAGACTAAACCTCTAACTCAAAATCATCCATTATACGTGAAATTAAAAATACAAAATAGAATTTAATATATTAGTCCATTTGAATCAATATTGGTGTTTATCTTACCGTGATATCTAATATTTAAGACACAATGAACATTTTAAAAACAGTACATTTGAATCAATATTGGTGTTTATCTTACGTGATATCTAATATTTAAGACACAATGAACATTTTAAAAACAGTACATGAGTCATGTACTCTATGGTTTCGGGCGCCATTTCTAATGGGAAAAGATATTCATATCCAAGGAGAAAATCCGTAGGTTATTAGTGATGGCTGATTTACAAACGACTAAATAAAAAACAAACAAAAAAAACGTGTAGAATTGACTAAGTAGACATAAACGACTGCCATTCAGTTTGGACTGTTGATCAGAAATAACAGTAACATTTTCGTCTCTTTTAAGGTTCCAATGAATAGAGCCACACGCCCTTTATATTAAAGGTTCTATGCGTGATTTTAGCGCTATAGAATCCCCTTGTAAACTACAGTATTGTGAAACTTGAATCGCTAATTTATGTAAAGCATTTAGCATGGTTGTATTGTCTCTCACATAATGACCGTTTCTGGTTTCTCCCCATGATTAAATGACACTATCCATGATTTTAGCACTATAGAATCCATTGTAAACCACAATATGTTGACACTTGAATCCCTAACAGGGATATCAATCAGTTTAAGGTGGTTAAACATTGAAAATTATATCATTATTTGTCCGTGAACCAAATTGATGGGTCTGTTTTAAATTCAAGCAGGGAGATTATTTAGCGTTATTTTTATTTCTTAATTAAATATCAAATAACTAATCGGAGTAAATACTTAGCATGCATTAAGTCGTGAAAAATGAGATTATATTTTTATATTTTCCCCAAAATGCAAATCATGCATCATAACTTTAATGTGTAAATATTACTGTGTTTTTCAGTAGATCCATGCGATGGTGTTACCTGCATGAATGGTGGAACATGTGTAGGTGAAGGTGTTTGCGAATGTGTATCTGGTTTCAGTGGACCAACGTGCAACAGTAAGTATTGTTGTGATTTTTGTCTTAGAGTCAACATTTTATCTGCTGGTGAATCACATGGTATATGTGTAAATATTACTGTGTTTTTCAGTAAATCCATGCGACCGTGTTACCTGCATGAACGGAGGACAATGTATAGGTGAAGGTGTTTGTAATTGCACCTTTGGCTTTGGTGGACCAACGTGCAACAGTAAGTATTGTTGTGATATTTGTCTTTATAATAAACACTTTACCTACTGGTGAATCACATGATCAGATGTGATGATCAACACGAATGAGAGACCTCACATATTGCCCACGGTGCAATGATTACTTAAATCGAAAATATATCACATATCTAAATAAGAGTTTATTTACGATATTACCAATATTATAATTATTTTACAGTGAGAGTATGTAACGTGACCGAGTGTAGTGATAGAGGGGGAGTATGTTTCCTATTGAATTGTACGACTAATGGTAAGATACCTAGTCTTCTATCAGCTATATTTATTACCAATCCAGTTATTATCCACTCAAATAACTATGATCTTGAAATTTACTGATAAAATTGAAATTCCATCATATAATCTGTGGATTAATATACAAATTAACTAGACATATTTCGTACATTGCTTTATCAAATTTCACATAATCGTTTTTAAAATGGCTAAATAGTTAAAGAATTATATCGTTAATAATTTTTATTGTTCCTCCACTAAAATATGTAATTGGACGATCTTCTAACCTGTAATTGGTCTTAATGGTACTTGTGTAGTCAGCGGTAAGTATAACATGTTACCTGTCTATTGATTAATGTATATACAAACATTAGACCAGTACCCTCTACTTTATAAACAGTTGAAATTTAAACTATAGTTCAAACGATCACCTGTTATAATAAAAGTAATGAAACCGTCTCGGTAATACTTGTATCAAACCCGTTAGAATATGTATTTCAAAAATGTCATTGCTGTCAAAACATTTTCAAGACGTAATAAAAGTCTTAATTAGGGTAAAAACTATGGAACTGTAAGACTTCCCGAGTTCACAAAGTTTAAAAAAAAACGACTTCCTTGATTGCATAACAATTTGAAAGAGTCTGAAAACAGGAGGTGCAAGTTTTTAATATGTTGATCACATCAGTTTCAACACAATCCATGAACTCCTGTAAGATACAGTCAGTACCCACAAATGGTTAACCGACATGTCACAATGGCGTTCTATTTATAAACTATATTATATATATATATGTTTTATATTTCAGATGGAAATTGTTTTGTTGCTATAGATAACATATTCAATTTGTGTGGTTCTCAGGGTATGTTGTCTATATATATATATATATATATGATAAAATGAATGATGATATACACTGATTATTTAATATCTATGTAACAACCCATAGCTATTGGGCTAGGTGAGAGAAACTATAAATAAATCAGACAACTATTGTAATAGCGTCCAGCATTATAAATGTTCAAATATTTCAGGTGTACCATGTGGGGAAGGATTTTGTGCTCTTACTTTTGGTAGTAAATGTGTAAACAACACGTGCAGGAGTAAGTATACCGGTAATATAGATATATGTTATTCAAAACGTCTATTTCTATGATTAATGCGATTATACTTAATCATTTGAATGTACACTGTACTTAGCAGGATATACCTAATGCCTTAAAAAGAGGAACACCTGGTAACACTATCCTATGTTGAATGATTTGTTAGATTGTTATCAATCTGATGGTATTACTCTGTTATCTTATGAAAGATAATCATAAACACAATTCTATATTCTAAATTATATTTATTATAGCTCCAGGTGAATGTGATACGCTGAGTGTTGACTCCCCTTGCACTGCAGTTGGTACCAATGGCACTTGTTCAGGTGGTGTTTGTCTTGGTAAATATGATTTATATTCTAGACGGTCATTTATATAATCAAACCCGATATTCAGATAGAGGGGGTCTGTGGCCGAGTAGTCTAACGCACATGCTGTAAGATCAGTTATCCATGCAAGTAGTTCCACTTCTACATCTGGGCTCTTCACCTATGTGTTGATAGATATTGTCCTGTGTAATAATATAGTACTTATTTTTATAGTACCGTGTACTGAAGACATCGAGTTTTAATAAATAGTTAGATATTATTGTGTGTAATAATATATTGTCATATAGTATCATACCATATGTGTTGTCCCTTTAATGTAAGGTTGTATGTGTGAGAGAGTGTACACTCCAGTGAGAGAGGTCAGTATGGGAGGACATAGCATTGAGTTGTAGTTTTGATCATAGTGAACTGGAATAAACTCTTTTACAATTTATACTTCTGTCATCTAATAATTATATGAATAGGCTTAAGGCCTATTTAACAATATTACTTATTTTTATAGAACCATGTGATGAAGACAAGGATTGTAGAGGTTTTCCATGTATTGATGGATTCTGTGCATGTAAATATTCACTATTCTATTTATAATCACCTATCAATATCACCTGATTTGTATATATATACATGTTTAACCTTTTTATTTGTATAAGATAAAAAAAAACCTCGAGCATCCCTCGTCATGACAACAAACAACAAGTTATGACTTTGAGAATATTCACCTAATAATCCCCCATGGTACACTATAGGTTTACACTGTCTTTTCACAAACATTCATTACGTGATGGATAATGGCCGAAGACTGTCCACTATGTAAATAGAAAGAACAACTGAGGGGCGTTAGCCCCGAAGTTTTTCTTTGTATTTACATAATGGACAGTCTGAGGCTATTATCAAACTTAAAACATAGCACCATAGAGATACAAATAATGGATAGTTTTCTAAAACATTATGCCATAAAATAATGGATATATTCTTAAAACAACATGAACATGCTCATGAATGCATGTGACAAAACACTCCAGTCATATACAAAGCAAGCATACACAGACAGTTCAAAATATTCTACATGGAGACGACATGTTTACAATACAGTCGAAAACAAATATTAATAATGAGAATATATTATGTGATAAGCATTTGGATACTGATTACTTTGTAATGCATTCGATATGGAAGATAATAGCCGTAAAAATTGTGATGTTCTTGATGTGGTGGATAATAGCCGCCAAAGTATTGATGGAAAGGCTGCTCACGAGAATGATTTAGATATTGATAATTTTCTTAATACTGTGGTTAATATAGCCGTAAAAATTGTGATGTTCTTGATGTGGGGGATAATAGCCACCAAAGTTGTGATGGAAAGGCTGCTCACGAGAATGATTTAGATATTGATAATTTTCTTAATACTGTGGTTAATATATATGGAGGGTACTAGCCGTCCCAATTTTGATTTAAAATTTAATATATACTCTGATATAGTGACAGGACGTAGGATCAAAGGCACAAACCAATTCACGAAATTCAAACTCAACTGTCATTATGGTGTAACGGTGATATATTTGAACTTTTTTTTATAATCGGATAAAAATTTTGACCTGCATAGGTTCCACATGCTCAAAACACGTTTTGTTTTGTACAGTCAGGGGCCGTAATCCACGAAGTTACGGTCCCATACAAGCCAATATCGAAAGGAACCGAGATCTTTGGGATATATACCTATATTTCAAGTTATGACCTGTAGAGTATCCACAAAGAAAATGTGGGCGTAAAAAAACGAATCATCGATCTAGTGCCGAACGTACTATTAAACGAATAAGTGACATATAACGGACTGATTTAAGTGAAATTCTTTATGTAGACAAACACGTGAAATCAACATTCTGTCATGTGATATTTCGGTAACTATGAGGTTTTAAAGTAATTTCATGTTCTGTAATTTAATTTGTTCAGAGAATAAATTATCCCAAAATACATGTTCATTTTTCAGATACGTGTCTATTATTGGTATTTTCTTAAACAATCGTCTATTATTTATTGAAAATAATGGCCATTTTATATATACAATGTAATAGACGATTGTTTAAGAAAATCGTACATTCTCCTATATAATGGTTAAAAACATCAAAGGGTGACGTCATATCTATGTTTTAATTTAATGTACTTGGTACAAATAGGGGCATGATCCACTTCATAAACATTTGGATAGGATTCAGAATGACAGAGATAATAACAAAAATGTTGAAAATTAAAAGACAACATCTTGTTATAGGACAACGCAGAATCTCATATTTTTTAAATCTAGTCAACTCACATGACGTAATATAACATATGTTGTTTGTGAGTAAACTCATACATAAACTTTCTGGTAAACGCAGGGATTATTCGGCCATCTTACCAAGATGGCGTCGTTAACCACCCATTTCAATCCATTTCAATCCATTAAAATAATTAATTTACTTGTTTAACTTTAAGTTGTAAAACGAATCTTATTTTGTAATATAAATTTATTTTCTGACTTGTTTATTAATAATATATAAACCATGTTTGTGTTTTTCAGTTGTTAAATGTGGAGAATCATTTTGTAATTTGGTTACACCCTAGTTTATGTTATGCTACAATGAACAACTATTTTAGATTCAATCAAATAAATTATGATATTTAACCACTGATATAAGATTTAATATAATAAACTATATTGTAATATTTAACCACTTCTGTTAAATAGATGAATTCCATTTAGTTCTTTCTTTATAAATTATAATTCTAAGCCAACAATATATTCATATAAACCAATAACTACAATATTCATCTGTATTTCTTCATAAAAACCAGATAAACCAAAAATTTAAAATGTAACCAGATTGAAAAATAAATAGTTTGTTGTTTGTTTGTTGTTTATTTTGTTTACCTCGTGTTGCTGTGTTTGTCAGTCATCCATGTTATCATCCGTAGTTTGTTAACCCAAATTCGGCGAAAAAGCAGCTTCCCGGGAAACATTTCACCCATATTTATGCTGAATATTAAAGTTAAGCTTATTAAATCCCACTTCATTTTATTTTTTTATTATTTTAGCTTTAAAACATCTCGCGAAGGGGTATAAAAGTGACACGATTTGCCATAATCCACCCAAACTTATCCTTCAACATACATAAAGATGGCGTTACTCCATGATTTTGGTGCCTGGACGGTAACAGATCGATCTCTAAAAGACAAAAGTCTTGCTGATTTATTTACAAATAAAAAATGATCACATGAAGAGCGCAGAGTGCGACTCCGTGTACATTTCTAAAAGTGAAGATAAATAAGAAGGTGACATATCATTTATACATTTAAAAGTTAAAAGGATGATTTTAAATTCAATTCTAAAAATAATCGGTAACCAATGGAGTTTCTGTAAAATAGGAGTAATATGGTTATTATAATTACTGCCGGTGTTGAACCTTGCTGCTGAATTTTGAACTTTTTGTAATTTGTTAGTGCCAATCAGTGAAGAGTTGATCTAAACGAGAGGTGATGAGAGAATGAACAAGAGTTTTAACACATGAAGTGGGGAGATTCTTCCGGATGTGGGCTATTTGGCGGAGATTAAAATACATAATTTACAAGTATAATTTACTTAAGGCTCCATGGTTACGTATTTATCAAATATAACTCCAATATTGCTAGCAGACGGGACTGGTGATATTACATGGGAACCTATAGATAAGGATACGTTGTAATTGACTTAACTAATAAGATTATTTGAACCTAACAGAATATATTCAGTTTTATCTTCATTCAATTTAAGAAAATTCATCCAACACCGAATTTCTTCAACACAACATTCGAGTTTGGCCTTACATAAATTAAAACTATTATTTGCAGTAGGTTTAAAAGACAAATATTATTGATTGTCGTCTGCATACATAAAGATGGCGATGTAATGATTTACATATATCACATTACTATAATATTTCATATTTGATGTCAACTTCTTCCAGCTTAATCAATATAGATGATATTATCTTGCTGTTAAAATATGGGATTGAGGTTATCCTTAAAGTGAGAATTGGGAAGAGAGAGAATTGCTATCAATGGACTATTGTGGTCTGTATCCTGGCGAACTAGAATTACTTCCCTTATCTCCGTGCTCTTTATCCTTCTCCCTTTTCTTTTCACCACTTTTGCATGGGATTTTGTTTTTACTTTTACTTCTTGGCCTAAAATAAAGAAGATTGTTGAATTTGCTGCCAGGTTTTGGTGAAAATTCATGATTTTGAGGTGGAAGGATCAGGACATGAATTAGGGTGCTCATCTACAGGGGCCGTAACTAGCTCAGAGCAACAAGTGGGGCGGGAAGTGTTCTCAGGCGTGCTGTAATATTGACGGACAATGTATATCTATGTGAGCGTGACCGGACGGACACGATCGATCCTAAAGAAATCGCCGATCGTTGGTCAAAGCTGACTACGCTGGGACGCTTGATGAAAATATGAGGACAGTCATGAGTTCCCATACGTAGTGATCAATTTAACTCATATAATAAATGTTTTCTGACCATCAGAAGTTTGCAAACTCTTCTCCAAAGTCTAGGATGGACAGGCGACCCTACCCCTTGTCAGGTACAACCGGGCATTCGACCATCTCTAAAGAAGTGTATATATGAAGCCCCTGGACAACTGTCTTGATTTGTGGGGAGGAGGGGTAGGGGCAGCATGGGTGTGCGTGTGTGTGTGTGTGTGTGGGGGGGGGGGGGGCTGTAAAATTGGCGGGAAATGAGTTCACGTTCATTTAAATCATAATTTTCTTTGAGCTTGGTAAAAACTTGACTTTTTAATTCCCATGTATGGGGTGGGGTGGGGTGGGGGTGCAAAATGTATTTTGGGGACAGAAACCACTTGGTTCAAAATTGACCCGAAAAGTGTTTTCTCGTTATATTTTTCGTTCAGTACCTATTTCGTCATTCAAAATATTACATTATAATGGTACTATTCAAGAGATCTGGAAATGTACATAAAAAAAACGTAGTAAATGCACAACTCTGGCGGCGACCCCCCCCCCCCCTTTCAGCCACCGGACTAATGCGTTGACGAAAGCCTCAAAAGGAACGAGGAAGGACCTGGGCCCCAAGGACTGGGCAGGGGGCTTATAGTTTTTAATTCACCAATTTTTCCAAATATCAAGTGAACTAGGGCGTTCAAGATAAAACATTTGAAACTTTGGTATCTATGGAAAGTATAGACACCCAATCTTACTGGAAAAATATTGGATTACCTGCAAAACACCCGTGTCAGAATACCACTAACCCAACTGTCTGCCAGCTGATAATGTGCTAGCTTGACTGGGGGAGCGGTTGTTATTTCTTTGTTAAATATTTAGGCGGGTTTGGGAACATTGAGGGGTGTCAACATACAAAAGACTCGGCAATTAAATGACGGAAAAAGTAGTTGACAGAAAATAATTAAGAACTTACTTAGATCTCAATGAGTATGATAAATGGACAGTAAGTAACGAAAAATACATTCTGAAAAATCGACCCTCCCTCAATGAATTGAGCTGACTGGCATTGCGTCTAATTTTATTTATAGCTTGCGGTATCACCCGATGAATACAACGTTTTGAGAGGGGTTTGAAGCAAATTTTTGATAGATTAATTAGTTTGAATATGTCCATATTTGGGTAATTCTTGGCGTCATTAGGGGAAAGTATCCAATCACATCATAAATAGCATAAATCAGGGTATACATAAGATTATAAGTCAAAAATTGCGCTCGCATAGTCAGACACCATTAAACACCGCTTGCTTGATTCTTCGGAGAGCCCTGATGTGAGGTTGCCATCAGTGGGATTGAGATAGACTGAGAGACGTGTTATTTTTATATTGTCTATACTTGTAACCATCTGTCCAGCTTTGACATAAAGTATATATACAAGCAACTGTTTGGTTGCTGTTCCTGTTAAACAAACGATTTGTTGCTGTAAATACATGTACGTACACAACGTAGAAGTCCGAGTGAATTCTAAAAGTAGAGAATTACAATAATATCCACGCGAGGGTCAAATGTGGATAATGACAGACTAACAATAGATGTATAGCAGGGAATGTGTCGCATGTCGGTCGGTACTCGGGTGTATAGCAGGGAATGTGTCGCATGTCGGTCGGACTACTCGGGTGTATGGCAGGGAATGTGTCGAACATCGGTCGGGTGTCGTGTAGGCTTTTGTTGCTTTTTGGTTTCGATATACGACCCACGGATAGTGCAGCAAGCTCTATATGATATTTGGTTGCCGTGCCAGGATCGACCTTGAAGGGAAAGGATCACTTTCGAAAGGCGGGGGGTGGGGGTGGGATTTGGGGTGCAATTAAAATAATTGTTATCAAATATATTTAAAAACAGAAATTGTTTTTGTTGAATAGTATAAGCCAATAGGGAGTCATGTAATTTTCCAGAAAAACAAATAATAAATGGTTTAATGACATTGAAGAAAGATGAAACACAGAGTTGCCGGGAAACAAATATACATCCACCACCACCAGCATAACACAAATTACTTAAAGATGCAGTTCTTTCTTTTACACAATGCATCTTTAATATAACTATTATAGCAAGAACGACCAGCTCTTTATCTAAATCTTACATAATGTATCTGTAATATAACTATTATAGCAAGAACGACCAGCTCTTTATCTAAATCTTACATAATGTATCTTTAATATAAATATTATAACAAGAAATGTCTGCCCTCTATCTAAATCTTACATAATGCATGATAAAGAATCACTTGATAATCTTACATAATGCATGATAAAGAATCACTTGATAAAGTTGAAAGATGAGTAGCCAAACCATTCCAGCTAGTTTTTTTTTGTTTTTTTTTTTAAAATCTCAAAAACTCTTGATCTGTAGTGAGGTTACAATAATTGTCGACAGTAATATACAATTAGAATACAATAAAAACAGTTGATGTATATCAATTTAGATAAATTAAAAAATCAATCTATTCCTTCATTGTCAATCTTTTTCTGTGTCCTTGACATTCAGTTCGTCGTTTTGTCAAACTATAAATCAAAACAACTTTTAAAACGAATCACACGTTAGAAAAAATAATCAACGTATGCTTCTAAGGCTTCTCTCCATTGGCTAATCTTCTGTTGATGTCATCCACGACGTCAGGTAATTCCACGATACTATCAATTACATAGTGAGCCCCGGAATGAACCAGTAATTTACGACTATACGCTAGACGCGTTTCGATTTCTTCTGGCGTCAGTTTTTGTGCCTGTTCTAAACTGTCAACATTCATATAATTTGAATATCTAGCCACTCCAACTCCCCAACAACCGGCCTCTATGGCTTCACCAACGCCCGATACAGTGTCGTCAACTTTAACCACAGATTGAATTGGATGTACGTTTAGTAAGTCCATGTTGCGATATACCATATACGGTTTAGGTCGAGCTCCATGAACGACTTCGTCTCCAGCGACATTTGCATCTGGTTCAAAGCCTTGCTTTTTGGCCTCCTCCAACAACAGATCCACCATTGATCGCAAAAAACCTGTCGTCATGCCGATTTTACAATTATACTCTTGGCGTAATTTATTTACGGCTTCCGCTGCCCCTGGGATCAATGCTCCGTATTGTTTTATACACGCTAATTGCATCGGGACGAAATCCTCAAACATCCTATCCACGTCTGCTTTTTCTGGGTATTTTCCGTAGACGTCCAACCATCTCTGTCTAACAGAATCCACCTCCGTTAACGCCTTAATATGGAGATCTTTCCGTAGCCCCATGGGACCTCTTGCTTCCAGCATGCTTATTGGAACTTTGTGTTTCTTAAAAACATCACAGAAAACGACAGCCGGGGCCAGGACATATTTATCAGCTGTGGTTCCACTCCAATCTAATATACAAGCCTGGACTTTCCCCAGATAGCTGCGTTGGGATCGAAGTTGTTTTAGTGCAACAGCCATGTTGGCGGACGATCACGAAAATTTTATATATGCGTCTGTGATATCTGAAAAGACAAGAAAAAAATTGAACTAAATGAACATTGTATCTGAGAAGTTCGTCTCATCCTAGGTTAGGGCATGAAATTAACTTAAAGGTGAATTATGTATGTGTAAAAGGTAAATCTGCCTATTGGCAATTGCAGGTCTTTCTTTTGGCTTCAAATGTGATATCAATCATTAGACATTTATTCACATGACAAACCTACATGTACAATCAACTCTCTAGATCATCACATGACAAACCTACATGTACAATCAACTCTCTAGATCATCACATGACAAACCTACATGTATGGTCAACTCTCTAGATCATCACATGACAAACCTACATGTATGATCAACTCTCTAGACCATCACATGACAAACCTACATGTATGATCAACTCTCTAGATCATCACATGACAAACCTACATGTATAATCAACTCTCTAGATCATCACATGACAAACCTACATGTATAATCAACTCTCTAGATCATCACATGACAAACCTACATGTATGATCAACTCTCTAGATCATCACATGACAAACCTACATGTATGATCAACTCTCTAGATCATCACATGACAAACCTACATGTATGATCAACTCTCTAGATCATCACATGACAAACCTACATGTATGATCAACTCTCTAGATCATCACATGGCAAACCTACATGTATGATCAACTCTCTAGATCATCACATGACCAACCTACATGTATGATCAACTCTCTAGATCATCACATGACAAACCTACATGTATGATCAACTCTCTAGATCATCACATGACAAACCTACATGTATGATCAACTCTCTAGATCATCACATGACAAACCTACATGTATGATCAACTCTCTAGATCATCACATGACAAACCTACATGTATGATCAACTCTCTAGACCATTTGATGCCCGAGTGGTCTTGATTGTTGAGTACTGCTGGTATGATAATAAACAGCCTGTTCTTTATCTAAATCTTACATAATGTATCTTTAATATAACTATTATAACAAGAACAGCCAGCTCTTTATCCAAATCTTACATAATGTATCTTTAATATAACTATTATAACAAGAACAGCCAGCTCTTTATCCAAATCTTACATAATGTATCTTTAATATAACTAGTATAGCAAGAACAGCCTGTTCTTTATCCACATCTTACATAATGTATCTTTAATATCTTTAATATAACTATTATAACAAGAACAGCCACATCTTTGTCCAAATCTTACATAATGTATCTTTAAATAGAGTTTCATGTCCTACTTCTCTGCACTAATGAAGACGAACAGTCAAACGAGGGTTTCATTATAAGTAGTCGAGAGAGAGAAATGGGGTTTTACCTCCACTCAACACAAACTAGGTCATTTCGGGACTTACATATGGTTCAATTTTATTCCAATAATTCACTTACGCGTAGGGGTCTTTAGCAGTGGGAGGAAACCGGAGGACCCGGAGAAAACCCACGAGGTTGGACAGGCGACCCAACTCCTTGTCACGTACAACCAGGGATTCGAAACCACGCCAGTTGACTCAATGATAGACCTTATGATACAGCGCGCACGTGCTAACCATTCGGCCATCCAACCCTCCAGTAATAAACAGTATTTGTATTCTGTGTATAAAGACTATATGCATGAAGTATTTGAGAAGAGCGCTGTTAATCTCCTGAACTCAACACACACTAGGTCATTTCAGGACTATTAAATGGTAGAATTTTATTTCAATAATTCGCTTGTACGTAGGAATCTTAAGCAGTGGCAGGAAACCAAAGAACCCGGAGAAAACTCACAAAGTAAGACTGGTAACTCCTGGTCACATACAGGTGTAGGAGAAACAACGCCACTTGACTCAAATGAAAGATCTTATGATCTAAAACATGTGTTAGACGGCTTGGCCACCCGCACCCCACACTTGCCAGTTGAATAAAAATCTTTGAAAGGCGGGGGACAAAAAGTGAATTTTCAGGCAATCAATGGCCATAATTCAGGCAGTTACGATCCGATATGAGCAAATATTAACAAAACCAGTGGCTGCCAGGCAGGATAGCCCACATTTAGCAAGAGATGGATAGAGAACAAGCTAAAACAAGCCAACAGTGAGGCTGATGTCCCCCGCCGAAATCCTCAAATAAATAGATGACACATATTAATTAATCACACATCTATTTTTTTCAAAAGTATCAAGCAATCAAACTGATTATAAACTATACACTAAGTTTCATCACTCTCTATCAGATAGAATCAAAGTTATCTTGTCCCAAAGCATTGACCAAGGAAATTGCTTATCTCTGCTTAGCTTTAGCTCGATATGTTAATCATTAAACTAAGTCAAGACGGACATCTACATCAAGTTTAAACATTCTACCTCAATTAGAATAAGAGTTGTTATGTTCCAAAGTCTTGACCAATCAAAATGCTTATTGCTCCGTAGCCTAAGCAGAAAATTCTCATCATCGAACTTAGTCAAGGTATTGATGTAATGAAACTATACACCAAGTTTCATCACTCTCACTTAATTAGAACTAAAGTTATCGTGTCCCAAAGCATCAGCCAACCAAATTGCTTATCTCTGCTTACCATAAGCAGAAAATGCTCATCTTCGAACTCCGTCAAGGCATTGGCCCAATAAACACCTACACCAAGTTTGAACATTCTAGCTCAATTAGAAGGAGAGTTATTGTGTTCCAAAGTCTCAGCCAATCAAATTGCTTATCGCTCTGCTTACTCTGAGCAGAAAATGCTCATTATCGAACTTAGTCAAGGTATTGATGTAATGAAACTATAAACCAAGTTTCATCACTCTCACGTAATTAGAACTAAAGTTATCGTAATTAGAACTAAAGTTATCGTGTCCCAAAGCATCAACCAATCAAATTGCTTATCTCTGCTTACCCTAAGCCGAAAATGCTCATCTTCGAACTCCATCAAGGCATTGACCTAATAAACACCTACACCAAGTCTGAACATTCTAGGTCAATTAGAAGGAGAGTTATTGTGTTCCAAAAAGTGTGACGGACAGACAGACGGACGGACAGACGGACAGACCCATTTAAATAGTCCCCTGCTTTCTTTGAAAGGCGGGGGACAAAAAGTGAATTTTCAGACACTCAATGGCCATAATTCAGGCAGTTATCTTGGGGTTATAAACATGTATCCATGAAGTTTCGATCCGATACATGCCAATATCGAAAGGAACCAAGATCTTTTGGAGATAAATTATATTTCAAGTTTCATTAAAATTGGATAAGAATTGTGACCTGTGGAGTGTCCACAAACAAATTGTGGACGGACGGACCGACAGATGTCCGGACTGACAGGGGCAACGACAATATATGTCCACATGAAACTATGGATGTATAAAAATAACTCAACAATTTAATGATAACCTTTTATATCGGTTAATATATGATAAACTGTTTTTTTAGTTATCTTTGTGAAACATGATTGAACCTAAAAACCTAAATTCTCTGACAAGGCCGTTGAGTTCACAGTAGAGATGTAAGATTTAGATAAAGTGATGGAAATAAAATGAAATAAAATGGGGTTTAACATCCTACTGTTCCACTCCGACTGGGCTTTTCAAGATGAACGTAGGCCATACATTTTGCCCGGGCAGCGGCAGTATGGCCTACATGTACTCTTATATTGAATTCCAATTGCCAAGGGATCTTTTATGTGCACGTCAATGTATACATGGGACCTTGGTTTTTCGTACCATCTGAACAACTAGACAGCTGTCTTTGTCAGGCTCCCTATCCTGCACCACTGACAAGGGGAAGCCACGTCGGAAAATCACGATGAACTTTCTTGGCCAATTCTGCGATCGACGACTAGTGAGCCAGCATCTTACCCACTGAGCCACTGTGGCTCCCATTTAGATAAAGATCTGGCCATTCTGGCTATAACAGTTTCAAAAAGGATAATGCAAAATGAATATAATGAATATTTCATTCAAATGTCTTTATTCTGAGCGAAGTTATCAGTTTGTAGTTTTGACAAGATGTGGTATAGACTATTTATTATCGTAACCTTGATTCACCATTTTTTAATTAAATCATTAATTCAACATCTGGTGGTCTAGAGAGCTGATTATAGGCTTGTTATGGGAATAAATGTCTAATTAATAGTTTATTCACATATAACATTTAAAGCCAAATAAAAAAGACTTGCAATAGTTCTTAAGGGGGTGTGGGGGGGTATGTCAATTTTGCAACTCAAAGCAACTAGTTTCAGTAAGTTGCAAGTGTACTTATACATGTATGTCAATCATATCAGCAACTGAAAGAAACAGTAGGACATTAAACACCAAACACCATTTTATTTCATTTTGTTCAGAATTTTTTTGATTGATCTGTGTTTTTTCCCAGTGTTCTGCCATTGCTGTCAGGGCAACATTTCCAGCACACTGTATGGTATACACCAATCTTCATTAGCTCAGTCGGTGCAGAAAAGTATGTTACTAATTAAGAATGTCAAGTGTATGACTTCAACAGTGACATGTATGACTTGTTAGTCATGATCACATGTATGACCTCACTACTGTACCTAGTTACTTTGATCTGACCCTAGCTACACTAGTGTAAACAACAACAGCTCACAACTCATTTTCACTTCACTTATGGCAATTGCACAGAAATAGTATACTACATGCCTATTCACTTGTCATGTACGGATAATGTACCTGTCATATCTAGCATAAATCAATAAAACGGATGTACCCTACTATATATATATAGAAATCAAATGGGCCGGGTACTGACTGGGATAATGAAGACGGGCTTACTCATACAGTGTGCTATGAGGGAAAGTTTGCCCAGACAGCAGGCTACAGCCTACTCTTTTTTTCGAATTCCGACTGTCAGTGGTTTTGTAACGTGTACGGCAATGTATAAACAGGCCCTCGGTATTTTGAACCATTTGAATGACTATATGTTGTCCCTTGCCAGGCCTTCCATCAGGATCTCGAAATCCTGATGGACTTTCTCAGCCAACATCAGGGTAGAACACGCGACCTCCAGGTTAGTGACTTAAAAGTTTTACATGTGTATGAAGTCAATTAAAGGTGTGCACTGCGCAATACCTGTGTATGAAGTCAATTAAAGGTGCGCAATACCTGTGTATGAAGTCAATTAAAGGTGCGCATGGATGTAAGAGATAAATCTGCCCATGAAGAGATGTTAAATACCTATTTAAAAGGTTTCTCCTGACATATTGTAATAAAGTTCCTCATCCGGATTGTGCATTTTATCTGGGTTTTTTTAAAAAAGAACTAGTCTTTTGGGGGGAGGTATAGTGGTTGCCAAATGGATCAGAAGGTCTGTCATTGAGTCATTATATGGCATGATTTCGATTCCCTGCTTGTAGGTGACAAGGAGTAGGGTTTCTCTGGGGTCCTCCGGTTTGATCCCACTGCTAAAAACTCTTACACGTAAGAGAATTATTGAAATAAAATTGAACTATATGTTAGTCCTGAAATGACCTAGTTTGTGTGTACTGGCTGTTAAACACCCCCCTCTCTCTCTCTCTTGATCTTTCTGGGGAATTAATTATATTTTCTGAATTGGGGTTTAACGTCCACTTGACACAGGCTAGGTCATTTCGGGACTAACATATGTTTTTTTAAAAAATTTTATTTCAATAATTCGCTTGCGCTTAGGGATCTTTAGCAGTGGGAGGAAACCGGAGGACCCGAAGAAACCCACGAGGTTGGACAGGCATCCCTACTCCTTGTCACGTACAACCGGGGATTCGAAACCACGCCAGTTGACTCAATGACAGACCTCGTGATACAGTGCGCGCGTGCAAACCATTCGGCCATCCAACCCCTCACACTATACATACATGTAGCTCTACTAACTCAATATTATCCATAATATTTGTCATTAAACACAATTTTTGGATTGATATTTCTATTAGAGATCAGGGCCCAAGTTCACAAAGCATTCTCAGTCTTAAGTTGAGAATTTACTCAACTTTCAATCACTGCTTATGAGAAATGTCTTGGTTCCAGAGACACAAAACTTTGCACATAAATTTCTTATTCATGTATTTGATACATTGAAACAACACAAGTTTTATAAAGGGCTATTAGTTAATATATAATATAATGCGAACAATTTTGAGTAAATTCTTAACATTTAAGTCTGAGAATGTTTTGTGAACTTGGGGCCAGGACTGTTCGTTGGCCGAATGGCCTGAGGTGTGTGCTTTAGATCATAAGATCTGCCATTTGGTTTTGTATTTCCTGCTTGTATGTGACTGTAGGGTTGCCTGTGGGTTTTCTCCAACGTTGACAGATACATCGATATCTATTCTCTAGAAAATCTTTTCATCCCGCCTAAAACAATTACAAACTCAGAGTGTTTATATTTCATGCAATGAACCTAGAGTCTAAATCTTGTAGAGCTATCTCAATTTTTCTTTATCAAGATTTCCATGTAGGCTATTATCATGTTTTAATTTTATTGCCGTATTTGATATTCATATATCTCAATTTTTCTTTATCAAGATTTCCATGTAGGCTATTATCATGTTTTAATTTTATTGCCGTATTTGATATTCATATATACCTTGATCTGCTTTTATGGTTCTTGCAGTAATAATATGATATTTCCATGGAAATATCTATACTACATGTATTTGTACGTCATGCAGTATGTTTATTATATTGTATGCTGTCCTAAAATATGTATGTTTTGGTATCATGAAATCTTATCTTATCTTATCTTAAATTATAATTATTATATTGGAATATAAATATTTGAAATAGAAATATTACAAACAATAAATACAATGTCCGTGAGATAAGATAAGATTTTAGATAAGATAATTAAGAATAAGATAAGATTTTATTTAGGACAGCATAGGCCTACAAAATAGTAGGCCTACACTAATAACAATGACAAATAATATATTTACAAACAAGACAAATGATAATTTTATTCTAGCTTATGTATATATGTAGAAATGGTTCCACTTCTGATGTCTTCAGTCATCCACAACCAAGACAATTATCACGGCTGCAAATATTGCAGCTATAGTATAATTTAATATATGCAGTTCTGCAATGTCACATGTGGGGCATAAAAACTGGGTCTAAACTAACTGCGCATATATAATATATCTCATATCTGGCCACTCGCGATCTTGTCATTCGAAATAAATATTTATAAATAAAATACTTACTATCATGAGCTGACGGCCAGCAATTAAATGATTATACGGCGTACAATATAATACGTTTCTTCTTGGTTCAAAAATTTCAAGCAGACGATGGGTGTTCAGCAGGTTGTATCATAATATGAATAACAACAACCCGTACAGTTGTTACTAAAAATACATGGCCTTGAACGAGACCCAGTGGTAAAAAAGGCCAATCACACCGTTAGCTTTCTTGCTCTTTACGTGACCCCTGTAATGACGTAAGGCTTGTAATTACGTCACGACGCAATGCAAGTATTTGTTTTCGTATCTGAAAACTGATTCACAATTTCACTGTGAATAATACCCAACACATAAAATATCATTCAAATAAAATATTAAATTACTACAATTTACAATGATATTCATATATATATATATATATATATATATTAATTTGTTACTTTATTTTCTGTCAAACGTTAAAATACGAAACTGCAAAGATGGAATGGTGAATCTTCAAAATGGCGTCCAAAGCAACGAACGGAAAAAACGAATAAATGTAGGCCTACATATCATTTAAGTCTGAGCCATGGCGGGGGATGAATTCATTCATTTAATTCCGTTTTTTAATTTTGTTCTTTATGTTGGAAATTTTACTTTATATGTAGCCTGTTATGTGTTTAAACGAAATTGTCACTCTGAGATAATCTTTCCATTATTATTTGTCAGAGCCGCAGTGAGCGTGGCTTGTGATTGAGATGTTGGCCCTACAATCTGAACCATCGTAAATTTTAAACGGATTTCTTCGATTATGAACAAGCATAGGCGTACGAGCCAGGGGGGCAGGAGGGGCAGTTGCCCCCCCTAAGGGTTACGTGAAAAAAAATTTTTATTTCATCTACTTGGCAAAATAAAGTGCCCGAAATCTAATAAAACACTAATTTTACGGGCTGGAATAGCAGTAAAAGGCGTTTGCGGCAGTTACATATTCCAAAATTTTTCTTGGGGGGTCCTTACAAGGTCAGGTCCGCTTCTTCGCCTCTCGAAGAAAACCGGCGCCGCTGTCTGTAAACCTGAAATTTTTTAGGGCATTTCTAGTTTTGCTTCCCTAACTGTCATCAAGCTTAATAGCTTTTAATTGAATACCACAAATTTGTACTGAGTTAACTATGGATTAAAACATTTTGTCTGGAGCCACTCTACTTTGTGCGACATTTTTCGGGCATCGATTATTATTTGTGAATGCAGCTGCAACAGTCTGATTGGATGGTTGGAATTCAGAATGGGATTTGAGTTACAAAACCATTGGATACTTTTGGAGTTGCTTACACGGGCTAGAATAGCAGAAAACGCATATGCGGTGGTTAAATTTTCAAAATTTTCTCCAGTCTATCAGATTTTGTCCACAATGAAAATATCACTGATTGCACGGATACTTGTTAAAATAAAGTCATATATAAACTAAAAATATCCTAATTATAAATAATTGAACAAGGATCATGAAGCTCACCTCCGAAGTCTCTGAGTGTATTGTTAATTTGATAGCATTCTTTCGATCAAATAATAACCGCTTCAATAACATTTGAAGAATCCAGGGAAAGAACGATCTAAGTCACATTTTCGTCTTTTCGCATTAAAGGCAAAACAGACTTTTGGACGAGAATGCTTGACGCGAACAGAACAACGAGTGGGTTTAATTACAACTTCAAAATGATGTTTAATACGAATCATATTTACCAGTACAACAACTGACTTCAACTTTTCAGCCAAATTAAGGTCAAATAAAGGGTACGATGGACGTATTTGTCCGGGTCTTGGTTCGATGTGACTCCGATCGTATTTAGATTGTTTCACAGAAAGTTAGTACAATTTGCTACCAGATGGCGCCATGAACTGGGTTTCATTGAAAAAGTGACTTAGATTGTTCTTCCCCGGGGCTCTTCATTTACCAGCGTGTTGCTTATAATACTTATATATGTCATATTAAAGATAATCATGGGTTATATTTAAGGCCGGTAAAACGAATGTAATTGTTTTTGTGCCTCATGTGTGTTCAAAAGAAAATTATCCCATCCGAGTCGCTAATCAAAATATTCCAAAAGGTAAAGTTATAAAATTTGCAGAAATTTTACTAGAATTAGTAGAATGTAAAAAACATTAACAAAATAAAAGAATACGGACAGTTATGTGTGTGAACGCCCAAACTCAATGCCGAGCTGAGATTTGTAGCTTTTTCTTAAACCAAACTTGAATTGTCGTAAAAGTGCCGAAAACCATTTCTATTTGCTATGCTGTCACCCCTTATACGAAATGATATCTCCCGAAGAGTGACGTAATCAGCTTCCATATTGATATTTTTCTGTGGGAGTTCAATTTTTCAAGAGAGAACTTTTTTATTCTTTGGGATAATTAGTTGTGCAATGGATTTTATTTAATGGGAGTTGATTTCTAATACACAGTTAAGTGGTTTGTTCATAATCCGTTTAAAATTTACGATGGTTCAGACAGTAATCTGGATGTACCGTGTTTAAACCTGGTGCTGGTCGAGAAAGTTCATCGGGATTTCCCGGTGTTGTTCCTCCTTGTCAGTGGTTTAGGATGCAGGGTCTGGCAAGGGACAATGTATAGTAGTCGTTCAGATTGGATGAAAAACCGAGGTAGACCTACAGTATTGGTAGGCCTACTTACACATTGCTGTGCACGTACAAGAACCCTTAACAACCGGGGAATCACGTGGCTAAGTGGGTAAGACGCTGGCTCGCTAGCCTGGAGATTTTCCGGCGTGGTTTCCCCTTGTCAGTGATGCAGGATGGAGGGCCTGACAAGGACAGCTGTCTAGTAGTTTGGATGGCGCGAAAAACCGAGGTCCTGTGTACATATTGGCGTGCACGTAAAAGATCCCTCGGCAGTTGGAATTCGATATAAGAGTAGGCCGTAGTGCCGCTGCCCGGGCAAAATTTCCCTCATAGTACACTGTATAGTGTATGCCCCTCTTCATTAACCCAGTTTAGGAGCAGGACAGTAGGATGTTAAACCCCATTTCATTTCATTTCCTTAACCCCTTAACTGCGTAGGACGTTATGTAATGTTCTGGACAACTGCCACTCACCGTGTGTAGGACGTAATATAACGCCCTGGAGGTATTTTCCCCAACCTATTCTTAGAACACAATCATACCATGCGGAAAAGACGTATTATTACGCCTGGTCGATGAATCTAATTAAGGGAGGCAACTCTATTTACTGTTAGTTTTATTTTGGTTTAAGACCACTCAAATTTGTATTCAGGAAAAAATAGGCCCAAATATGACGTTTTTCGTCAAATTAATTACGCAATAGGGGGTAGTTAACGTCAAATTAATTACACAGTTAAGGGGTTAACAACAGTTGGATTTTCAACATAAAGAGTAGGTCGAGTGCCGCTGTCCGGGCAGTCGGTGCAGAACAGTGCAGGACATTAGATTTCATTTCTTGCGGGGGTGTTGGATGACCAAATGGTTAGTGCATGCCCGTTGTATCAATAGATCTGTCATTGAGTCAACTGGTGTTGTTTCGATTCCCTGGTTGTACAATGTATGTGACAAGGGTTTTCTCTGGGTCCTGCAGTTTCCTCGCACTACTAAAGACCCCTACGCACAATCAAATTATTGAAATAGAATTGAACCATAGTCCCAAAATGACTTGTTTTTGCAAGTCTTTGATTGGCTTAAACTATGAATGAGGAATTGAGTCATTGTCTGCTAAAAAAGTGAGAAGATCAATCTCCATCACACAAATGACGGCTGAAAATTGAGCTAAACAATTTCAAAACCATTTTTATGAAGATGGCGGTATTATGTTTTGTAAATTTTGTTCACACAGCGTGGACTATATATACACAGTAATACGGTGAAGGATCATATTGAATCAAAGAAACATCAATCGGCCATGATGGATTCAGTGATACCCATGTCTTACTGTGAAATGGAAAAAAATAGAATTGAATAAAATCTGAAATGGAATTTGCTCATATCAGAAGTGGAAAATCATCATCCATATGAATCTGTGATTGTCTCTTGCCTTTAGTATGACTAGAGGACAAACAAACTGAAGTTTTACTTCTTCGTAGTCTTGTAAATAAAAAGATGAGCCATTTAGAATTTCAAAATTGAAAATGTGCAGCTACTTGTAGGCCTACATGTAGGCTAAAAACTTTTGAGGAAAAGTAACCAAGTATTTGTGGATTTTTAATTATTTTTTCCCCATGAGGATGGCAGATTAATCAACAACATTATGTAATATGTGATAATATTACTTATTTCATAAATAATTAATTGTTTTTTGACCAGGGTGGGTATTCCCAAAGAACAGAAGTTCAAATTGATGTTGCCATAGCGATAATTATCTTGGGGTTAAATTGTTAAGATATAAATACAGATGAGGATGGCAGATTAGTCAATAATGTTATGTGATATAATTTACTTATGTCATAGATAATATTACCTACTGTGGGTTATAAATTGTCAATAATAAAGTTACACAATCAGCTCAAGGGTTATACGACCAGTTGTATTAATTATGATAAATCACAGGAGTCTGACCTTCTATCTGTATATATATGCATACACCATGTCCAATCAGACAATATAATAAAAAAAAGAATGAATATATTGTCTGGTTGGACATGGTGTATGCATATATATACGGATAGAAGGTCAGACTCCTGTAGATAAATAAATATTATTTATAGCGTGCTTGCTATAAACTCTTCCAAAATGGGTTATCAATCATTATCAATAAATAAAGTGACTCGATCAGCTCATGGGTTATACCAGTTGTATATAATAAATATTAAAGATGCTTTAATTGTTAAAAAATAGTAATGACAACTGTAATGACTGTTTGAAGATGTACTGCAGATCGTTTATTATTGCAGCAATGGTACTTGACAACCAAGACTATCCATTTTACAATCCCCCAAATGAATGTCAATATTTTAATGTAAATACTGTTATTTAAAAAGAGTACATCTGAATTTGGAGAACCATAGGCTTAAAATGAACAGTTTTTGGTTTGATATTCCTCTAAAATGAACAGTTTTTGGTTTGATATTCCTCTAAAATGAACAGTTTTTGGTTTGATTTTTGGTTTGATATTCCTCTAAAATGAACAGTTTTTGATCCGATATTCCTTTTAGAGATTCAACTTTATTACAAAGGATTCACATCTCACAGCTCTAAATTGTAGTTAGCAAAGGATTCATATCTCACAGCTCTGAACAGCAGATCGGATTCAAATCCAATGAAAATCAGACATATTAGATGGCATCGAGAGTTGATCATGGTCTGGATAAGTTAATAAATGTGTAATTAATAGTTTATATAACATTTCAAGTCTAAAGAAGACCTGCTCTTGTATGTTTAACTATATTTTTTTTCTCTTTCAGTTTAAAAAAAGATGATGCATTAGAAGTTATTTTACACCGTCAGTATATCATTCAATGATTCTAGATAAATCAACCAAAGAATCTCTAAAGATGTGAAATACATCTTCTTTATATAAATTGAAACCGTCAGAATGAACCCCTAGAATGTAAAAAACACCCGGGTATAAATTGGAATTGTCAGAATGAACCCCTAGAATGTAAAATACACCCTGGTATAAATTGAAACTGTCAGAATGAATCCCTAGAATGTAAAAAACACCCTGGTATAAATTGAAACTGTCAGAATCCTGAAGACAAATATAGTACCGTACCGACAATATACACGTAACTAGGCAATTTGTGGACTAACATCTTATATTATCACAATAATGTCTGACGACGACGACGACACGTACAGCTACGAGGAATCGTGGGACGAATCGGGTAGTAAAACGTTTAGTAGTTTGGGTGATTCATCTCTAGGAACGAGTGAACTCAGAGATGAAACGCAAGAAAATGAAGACAAAAAACGTGCATTGCCATTGGTTTTGAAAAAACAGAAGGGTTCATTTACTGGACAACTTTGGGTGGATAATTCTGAAAATCGTGGAGCGTTGGATGTTTCCCCGAGAGTCGTAGGATCTTCTATACAAAGAAATAGCATGTTAAATCCGGGTTTGCATTTCTTGGAGAACAACGATAACCCAGTGACGTCAAATCGTGGAGCGTTGGATGTTTCTCCGAGAGTCGTAGGATCTTCTATACAAAGAAATAGCATGTTAAATCCGGGTTTGCATTTCTTGGAGAACAACGATAACCCAGTGACGTCAAATCTCAGAAGAAGTAGTTCCATCATGAGAGAAAGTAGGGAAAGTGTTGGAGTTGAAGATTCCCGGAAAATAAATACACCCAAAAAGATGCACGTACATTTCAGTAATACATTGGAAATAGTGCATGATATTCGCGACTCTCCCCCAGAATTCTCTGATTCAGGAGAGATCAGTTCAGAAGATAGCAGTGATCGGACAGATACATCAACCAGTAAATCGTTAACCGATAAATATACGAATGACTTTGATTCTCTGTCGGGCAAATCGTACTCCGCTGATTTTGAATCTTCGACGGCCAAATCTTATTCAAGCGATTTTGAGCAGACGTTCAGTGAAGACACGGACACGTATCAGTCCATCTCTCAGGATCAGGAAACATCTCAGCTCAATAGCCAATCAGTGTTTAGTGACAGCAGTGACACCTATAGGAACGTCAGTGATAGCGAATCGTACACAGATTCTCAATATAGCGACATTAGTTCGTTGTCGGATGATAGATCGGATGCCACTGAGACTGGTGACGACCTCTACAGTGATACATTTGAATCGGCTACGAAAACTTCTGGAAGGTAAGTATCAGGGTTTGCACGTCAAAATGTTCACTGTTGGTCATGGAAATATTACATATAAAATTCACAAGGTACAGTAATGTGAATTCGTTTGTCTAAACCACTATCAAATGTTTTTTCCAACTCAGCCCCAACAGCGTGGAATGTTCTGTCGCTGGAAGTAAAGTGAATGTTTAATGTCTTACTGTTCTGCTCCTACAGGACTAATGAAGATGGACATAAGGGGCCAAAGACCATGCAGTGTGCTATGAGGGAAATTTTGCCTGAACAACGGCACTATATATGTCCTACTCTTATATCAAATTCAAACTGCCAAGGTTTCTTTTTCATACCCTCAGAGCAGCTATTCGTTTTTCCATTCCAGGCCCCCTGTCATGCAGGAGGGAGGGCCTGGATGGGACAATCAGTGAAGGAGGGAGGGCCTGGATGGGACAAGTGGTGCAGGAGGGAGGGCCTGGATGGGACAAGTGGTGCAAGAGGGAGGACCTGGATGGAACAAGTATGGATTGGAGGGGGGGCTGGATTCGGACAAGTGGTGCCAGAAGTAGGGCCTGGATGGGACAATCAGTGAATAAGAGAGGGGCCTGGATGGGACAAGTGGTGCAGGAGGGAGGGCCTGGGTGAGAAAAGTAAAAAAAAATACCACTGCTTACAACATGTTAAAAAATAATATTTGAAAACATTGCATGTTTGTGGTGTAAGGGGAGACAATAGGTAAAACATACAGTTACATCCCTTTAATCATTTCCTGTACTAAACTGTATATTTCATGTACTAGACTGTATATATATTTCAGATTGTCCAGCAGTTATAGATATGATGATGACACATTTGAAGACAGTGACACGTCCAGTATTAAACACAGTATATTGGATAGTCTCGTATTTCCAGTAAGTTTTAGATAGTCTTGTATTTCCAGCAAGTTTTACTTTGATTACTTTATAGCTTATCCAAAAAAATCAGAACAATTAAGAATTTAAACGGATTAGAAGGGGATACTCGATTGGACGTTCCGGAATTAAATTGTCTAATTCAGGCTACAATGCATGTGGCGACTGCATAAGGAAATATCTCAATCAACCATGACAGTTGATACATGTACATGTACATGTATATATTCGTTGTGTTTAATTACATCACGATTCGACTCACACCACCTCCATTAACCTATAACCTAACCCTAACCCTAACCCAACAGTTCTATTCGTGCTTTGACTAACATTGCTTCTTTCTCTGTTTCCGTTAGGTTATGGGTTAATGTCAGACGGTAAAATAGCCCACAAGATGAAATTGCTGGCATCATTTCCAAAATGAAACAACTGCGCATGTCAAACGGAAGCGACGGCTAAATAGTAAATAAAGTAAAGAGCCGTCAGACGGCAAAATATACACTGCAAATTATTAAACCTCAAATTGAACCGTATTTTAGTCCCTCTGCTTTTGTTACAGATATTAGAAGAATCGTAACAAGCTATATCTTGAGGTGAACAAAGTTTCAAGGTTGGAACCAATGACTCAGATTAACTTTCAAATCACTCAAATGATCTTGCACTTTGTTAAACATACATTATGCAAGAGCTAAATCTGCCTATTGCAGGTTATTCTTTAGGCCTGAAATGTTTTCTAAAGTATTAATTAACTGATCCAGGCCTTAATCAACTCTCGATGGCATCAGATTTCTCTGATATTAAATAGATTAGAATGGTTCAGCGATACTTTGATTTAATCAAATATGGAGGACCGAGACTTAGCTTCGATCAACCAGTACGGTGGTTGAAATTATTGCACACGTCTGTCAAACTTTCAAAGGCTAATATCTTCACTTGCAATAGAGTAATTTGAATGAAATTTTCAAATTATTCATTTTACATCATCTACTTTCGAACTATTATAGCAAGAATGGCTAGTTCTTTATCTAAATCTTACATAATGTATCTTTAATAGTAGACTTGTTCTTCACATGTATTCCGAAATAAAATAAGTATATATGTGTTTCTGTTATTTTAGGATTTAAGTGATATTGAAACGACTGATGTAACGTATGCTAGAGATCAGTTTGTAGCAGAAACTATTTATAAACTTAAACATCCTGATATTAAACTTGACTTTCACCTGGCAGATGATAAACCTAAAACAGGTACATGTAGTTAACCTCTCTCTTTTAATAAACGATATATTTATTTAACCAATTACTAAAAACCTTCTCACTTTTCATAAACAATAAGTTAATTTAACCAATTTCTTAAATAAAATGAAATGAATTAGGGTTCAACATACTACTGGGTCGATGAATGTATACAATATTTTCCCTGGGCAGTGGCCCTACAGTCTACTCTTATATCAAATTCCAACTGCCAAGGGATCTTTTGAATGAACGCCAATATGTACACAGGACCTTGATTTTTCATCCCATCCGAATGACTATTATACGTTGTCCCTCTGTCCTGCACCACTAACAAGGGGGAACCACGCCAGAAAAATCCTGATGAACTTTCTCTGCCAACACAGGGATCGAACACAGGACCTTGAGGTTAGCAAGCCAATTACTCACTGAGCCATTGTGACTCCCTCTTTTTTTTTTATAAACAGTTGATTTATTTAACTAATTTCATAAAACCCTTCTCCCTTTTCATAAACATTATATTTTGTGAATTTCAAAAAAAGTTTTACCACAGTAGTGTTTGGCTGGAGAGTTTACTTCCCTTCCGACCTGTTTAATATTTGGTTGGGTGGTTTACTCCCCTTCCCACCTGTTTAAATATTTGCTTGAGTAGTTTACTCCTTTTCCCACCTGTTTTATATTTGGTTGAGTGGTTTACTCCCCCTTCCCACCTGTTTAATATTTGCTTGAGTAGTTTACTCCTCTTTCCACCTGTTTTATATCTGGTTGGGTGGTTTACTCCCCTTCCCACCTGTTTAATATCTGGTTGGGTGGTTTACTCCCCTTCCCACCTGTTTAATATTTGGTTGGGTGGTTACTCCTCTTCCGACCTGTTTAATATTTGGTTGAGTGGTTTACTCCCCTTCTCACCTGTTTTATATTTGGTTGAGTGGTTTACTCCCCCTTCCGACCTGTTTAAATATTTGCTTGAGTAGTTTACTCCTCTTCCCACCTGTTTTATATTTGGTTGAGTGGTTTACACCCCCTTCCCACCTGTTTAATATTTGCTTGAGTAGTTTACTCCTCTATCCACCTGTTTTATATCTGGTTGGGTGGTTTACTCCCCTTCCCACCTGTTTAATATCTGGTTGGGTGGTTTACTCCCCTTCCCACCTGTTTAATATTTGGTTGGGTGGTTTACTCCTCTTCCAACCTGGTTAATATTTGGTTGAGTGGTTTACTCCCCTTTTGACCTGTTTAATATCTGGTTGGGTGGTTTACTCCCCTTCCCACCTGTTAAATATCTGGTTGGGGGTTTACTCCTCTTCCCACCTGTTTTATATTTGGCTGGAGAGTTTACTCCCCCTTCCCACCTGTTTAATATTTGCTTGAGTAGTTTACTCCTCTTCCCACCTGTTTTATATCTGGTTGGGTGGTTTACTCCCCTTCCCACCTGTTAAATATCTGGTTGGGGGGTTTACTCCTCTTCCCACCTGTTTTATATTTGGCTGGAGAGTTTACACCTCTTCCCACCTGTTGGGTGGTTTACTCCCCTTCCGACCTGTTTAATATCTGGTTGGGTGGTTTACTCCCCTTCCCACCTGTTTAATATTTGGTTGGGTGGTTTACTCCCCTTCCCACCTGTTTAATATCTGGTTGCGTGGTTTACTCCCCTTTCCACCTATTTGATATCTGGTTGGGTGGTTTACTCCCCTTCCCACCTGTTTAATATTTGGTTGGGTGGTTTACTCCCCTTCCGACCTGTTTAATATTTGGTTGGGTGGTTTACTCCCCTTCCGACCTGTTTAATATCTGGTTGGGTGGTTTACTCCCCTTCCCACCTGTTTAATATTTGGTTGGGTGGTTTACTCCCCTTCCGACCTGTTTAATATCGGGTTGGGTGGTTTACTCCCCTTCCCACCTGTTTAATATCTGGTTGAGTGGTTTACTCCCCCTTCCCACCTGTTTAATATTTGCTTGAGTAGTTTACTCCTCTTCCCACCTGTTTTATATCTGGTTGGGTGGTTTACTCCCCCTTCCCACCTGTTTAATATTTGCTTGAGTAGTTTACTCCTCTTTCCACCTGTTTTATATCTGGTTGGGTGGTTTACTCCCCCTTCCCACCTGTTTAATATTTGCTTGAGTAGTTTACTCCTCTTCCCACCTGTTTTATATCTGGTTGGGTGGTTTACTCCCCTTCCCACCTGTTTAATATCTGGTTGGGTGGTTTACTCCCCTTCCCACCTGTTTAATATTTGGTTGGGTGGTTTACTCCTCTTCCGACCTGTTTAATATTTGGTTGAGTGGTTTACTCCCCTTCTCACCTGTTTTATATTTGGTTGAGTGGTTTACTCCCCCTTCCGACCTGTTTAAATATTTGCTTGAGTAGTTTACTCCTCTTCCCACCTGTTTTATATTTGGTTGAGTGGTTTACTCCCCTTCCCACCTGTTTTATATTTGGTTGAGTGGTTTACTCCCCTTCTCACCTGTTTTATATTTGGTTGAGTGGTTTACTCCCCCTTCCGACCTGTTTAATATTTGCTTGAGTAGTTTACTCCTCTTCCCACCTGTTTTATATTTGGTTGAGTGGTTTACTCCCCCTTCCCACCTGTTTAATATTTGCTTGAGTAGTTTACTCCTCTTCCCACCTGTTTTATATTTGGTTGAGTGGTTTACACCCCCTTCCCACCTGTTTAATATTTGCTTGAGCAGTTTACTCCTCTTTCCACCTGTTTTATATCTGGTTGGGTGGTTTACTCCCCTTCCCACCTGTTTAATATCTGGTTGGGTGGTTTACTCCCCTTCCCACCTGTTTAATATTTGGTTGGGTGGTTTACTCCTCTTCCGACCTGTTTAATATCTGGTTGGGTGGTTTACTCCCCTTCCCACCTATTTGATATCTGGTTGGGTGGTTTACTCCCCTTCCCACCTGTTTAATATTTGATTGGGTGGTTTACTCCCCTTCCCACCTGTTTAATATTTGATTGGGTGGTTTACTCCCCTTCCCACCTGTTTTATATTTTGTATTTTATTTACAGAAAGTAAAAAAGATAGAATATTGTCAGAGTATTGTCAGATGAAAATTGATCAACTGAAGTCTAAACAAGGTTTGATATTAAAAATAATTTAATTAAAATTTGATCTCTATTTTGTTCCAGTTTTAATTTGGGTGTGGTCTATAAAACAACAATCTATCTACTTCTTTATCAATGCTATAGCGAGCCATGATGATTCAGTGAGGCAGACGTTGGCTCGCTAACATGGAAGTGCCGTGTTCAATGCCGATCTTGGTCAGGAAATTTCATCTTGATTATTCGGTTTGGATCCCCTTTGTCGCACGTGTAGGACTGGATATAGTTGTTTGAATGGGATGTTTACACATCAGCTTGAAATTAAAAGAACCATGAACAGTTGAAATTCGATATATGCGAGTAGGCCATAGTGGATCCGGAGCTGTCCAGGCAAAATTTCCCTCCTAGTACACCCCAGTCGGAGCAGAAACGAAGGCAGTTAAACCCCTTTTTCATTTCATTTTCTCTGATGTTGAGGTTGGATGGCCGAATGGTTTAACGCATGAGTGTTAGATTAAAAGGGCTGTGTCGTGTCAAGTGGCGGGATTTTGACACCCCACTTGTACGTGACAAGGAGTAGGGTCCCCTGTTCAACCTTATGGGTTTTCTCCAGGTCCTCCAGTTTACTCCCACTGCTGAAAACTCCTACGCACAAGTGAATTAATGAAATAAAATTGAACCATACATTTAGTATGTGTGGAGTGGACATTAAACCCCATTTCTTTCTCTCTCTCTCTCTCTCTCTCATTGATGCCTAATTGCGACTGTACTATGTCTTCAGTTTCAAAACTATGCTGTTCGGACATGATCTGGCCCCGGGACCCGTGTTGTACCGAATCTTATTCATAATTAAAGCCCATCCTTCACTTGTCCCGGGTGGAACCTGCGGGGCTATTTGGATGGGATGAAAACTGAGGTCTTCCTGTGTCAACACTGACATACATGTAAAAGACCTCAGGCTATCGAACATTGGAATTCGCCATTGCGGAATTTTTCCCGACAGCAGTGCTGTGTCCTACTTCTATTTCAAACTGTCTGCGGATATTTAACATGCTGCCAACGGTATTTACACGCCAACCATTCGGGCATCAAACCCCCCCATATACACAGGCTAACCATTCAGCCATCCAACCCCCCTATATACACGGCCTAACCATTTGGCCATCCAACCTCCCTATATACACGGGACAACTAGAAAAAAGATATGCACATTTTGCACAAATTTGAAAATTGTTTTTTTTTAGATAAACCTGAAGAAAAGACAATGAAATTAAAACCGGACCCTATACCTGTAGAAACATATGGAATAGGAACCCAGCAAGTTGAACGATTAAAATTACAAAACTTCATGATGAAGTTAAAACAGGTAACTGTCATTAAAGATACATTATGGGAGATTTGATAACGAGTTGGCAGTTCTCACTATAATAGTTAAAAACTAGATAATGTAAAGGCAATTTGCTGAAAATTTCATTCAAATTGATCCACTATGAACCGAGAACAAAGCGGTTGAAATTTCCACCTAGCTTCAATCATCATTACTAAAGTCAGTACGATAAACAGCATAGTCTTGATTATCCATTTAATCGTTAAATCGTTAAGGAAAGTTATGCAGTAAATCGGCTCATAATCCACTAAAGATCCCAAGCTAGCGTTGCCATCTAGAGTTGATTATGGTCAGGATAGGTTAAGAGCTGTCTAATTAATGATTTAGATAACAATTCAGGCCTAAAGAAAGACCTGCAATAGACAGATTTAGCTCTTGTATATTGTGAGTTTAAGGGTCAAGTTAACCGGAAGCAGATCCTGATTAGATTTGGGGTGGAGGTTGGATGGCTGAATGGTTAGCGTATGCGCGCTGTATCATAAAGTCTGTCATTGAGTTGACTGGCGTGGTTTCGAATCCCCTGTTGTATGTGACAAGGAGTAGGGTCGCCTGTCCCACCTCGTGGATTTTCTCCGGGTCCTCCAGATTCCTCCCACTGCTAAAGATCCCTATGCACAAGCGAATTATTGAAATAAAATTAAACCATATGTTAGTCCCGAAGTGACCTTGTTTGTGTCGAGTGGACGTTAAACCCCATTTACACTGAACAATTTACACTGAACAATTTACACTGAATAATAGCTGATTTTAATGAGAGGTATAAGAACCATATATATTTGTTTAATTATGAATTCTATATTTTATTTTAGAAATGTGAAGAAGAGATCCATGATATTAATACATGTCCTGATTGTAGGTGCGTACAATTTTGGATTTGTGAATGTGAATATTTGGTAATATATTATTGTGCCCCGCCCTTAAAGTCAACATGGGACTATATTATGCTGTGTCCATGCTTCTAATTGAGCTATAATGTTTAAACTTGGTGCACATAATAATAATAATGATATTTGTATTGTGCAACTATTCAATCGACGAGAGAATCCGCTAGAAAATGTTAATGCTAGTGACTAAATAACCAACTTTTCACTTTGGATTTAAAAACTGACACAGAACCACATTGTTGGATATTTTCTGGAAGTGTGTTCCACACAGTTGATGCACTGTATCGAAAAGCTCTGGATCCAAGTAATGTACATCATCTATTTATTTTGAGATTGAGTCGGGGGACATGAGACTTATTACTACATGTAGTTATTTCATTTAAGAATTTAATTAACTGTTTCTAGAAGTGAGAGAGAGAGAGAAATGGGGTTTAACGTCCACTTGACACAAACTAGGTCATTTTGGGACTAACATATGGTTCAATTTTATTTCAATAATTCGCTTGCGCGTAGGGGTCTTGAAGTGTGGGAGGAAACCGGAGGACCTGGAGAAAACCCACGAGGTTGGACAGGCGACCTTACTCCTAGTCACGTACAACCGGGGAATCGAAACCCTGCCAGTTGGCTCAATGACAGACCGTATGATAGAGCGCGCGCGTGCTAACCATTCGGCCATCCAAGTAAAACCTGTAACAAGATTTCATCCAATCTGGTAATTTTCTTTTTGCAGACAAAGGTCTGATGAGATCGATGGTGCTCTTCAAGAGAAAGAATTTATTAAACGGATAAAACAGAAAGTCGAATCAGAAATAATGGAGGATAAAATACAGAAACATCTGATAGAAATGGTGAGAAAGAATTTGGTTGTTTATTTGCTTGTAAATCTGTATATTATTGAGTTCCGAAAAAAATAGTGTGCAGTTATTCAAATTGAATGAAATGCTGAAGCCTGGTGAATACAGGCGATTTTATTGAAGCAACAGGCAATTGTTAGGCAAGCAAGGAAGCACCCAAAATCCCAGTGACATGTATGCACTTACAAGCATTTATTGGGCTACGGTTCAGGGATTTCCACCTGTGATCATGTGACTAGTGAAAATGTTAACGCTGATGGGCGAGTTAAGACAAGGTACCAATTTGTAAGATCATGTGACATTTTATAATTTTAGAGTGACGAGCAATTCTTGACATTTGGTAAATCTTACACTGTGATATCTGTTGTCATGACAATGACGTATGCACACATGATGTTTTCTGCCTGCACTTAAAATTGCTAAAGAAAATGTTTAGCAAAATATACTGGGAACAATGGCACTGGCTAACTACCAAACAGCTCCATGGTTTTCATTCTGGTGGTGTTCAAGATATTTTCACGTTAGTGGCATTGGTTGAGAACAATTAAACCATTCGCCCCCCACCCCCCCACCCACCCTATCCCCACACACCCAAGAACCATGAATAAATACATGCTGTTATTTTCATTATTGCCCACTTTAGCATGACCTCTGTAAAGATGCATTATGTAAGAACTAAATCTACCATTACAGTTCGTCTTTTGGCGTTGTAGAAATTATTATTAGGCATAACAAGTCTATAATCAATTCTATAGGTCATTGGATGGCTGAGATTTAAATGGATTTAAACATCCACAAGTTTTAATTATTTAACAATAAAATGGACAATCGAGGCTTAGTCTCGGTTGTCAAGTACAGTTCCTGATAATCGATCTGTCTTCAAACTTCGCTCAGGATCGAGTAACTTGAATGAAATTTTCAATATTCATTTTTCATTATCCATTTTTGAACTATGATAGCAAGAAGACCAGCTCTTCATCTAAATCTTACATAATGCTGCGTAGGGTGCTGTGTACAGACTAATAGGGCATGTACAGGATCCTTTCTTTACGTTAGGGTAGTATATACATATACAGCGCTGTCTAGGGTATAGTATATACATGTACTGCGCTGTCTAGGGTATAGTATATACATGTACTGCTGTCTAGGATATAGTATATACATATACTGCGCTGTCTAGGGTATAGTATATACATGTACTACTGTCTAGGGTATAGTATATACATATACAGCGCTGTCTAGGGTATAGTATATACATGTACTGCGCTGTCTAGGGTATAGTATATACATATACTGTGCTGTCTAGGGTATAGTATATACATATACTGCGCTGTCTAGGGTATAGTATATACATGTACTGCGCTGTCTAGGGTATAGTATATACATATACTGCGCTGTCTAGGGTATAGTATATACATGTACTACTGTCTAGGGTATAGTATATACATGTACTGCTGTCTAGGGTATAGTATATACATATACTGCGCTGTCTAGGGTATAGTATATACATGTACTACTGTCTAGGATATAGTATATACATGTACTGCTGTCTAGGGTATAGTATATACATGTACTACTGTCTAGGGTATAGTATATACATGTACTACTGTCTAGGATATAGTATATACATGTACTACTGTCTAGGATATAGTATATACATGTACTGCTGTCTAGGATATAGTATATACAAATACTGCTGTCTAGGGTATAGTATATACAAATACTGCTGTCTAGGGTATAGTATATACATGTACTACTGTCTAGGATATAGTATATACCACACTGATCCGCAGTGAATATTCGCTTGGCCAAATTAAATTTTTTTTTAGTATTAGAAAAATAAATAAAGGTGTTTGAAATATATCTTGATAAAAAATATTCCATATTTAGCGTAAAAATGTACAGAAAATAGTACGCGGAGGCGTAAAATGGGTAAAACGATATAATTTTGCCCGTACCAGTTCATATTACTATGTCAATGTAAACAACGCACGTGTGACCATCAATTTGACGTTTTTTTCTGTTTGTTTACTCTGAATTCTTTCAGAAGTACATTTTTTACCGTCTAATCTGATTGACCTGCTCGTGTTTGTTTTAAAACAAGAAAAACAAGCCACAGAAGTAATCTTTTTTGGTGTTATCGATGCCACCCTGCTTTGTTGGTAAACATTGTGATGTGACGTCACCCTTAGAACTACAGCGGTCTAACCTTTTAAAGGTCAGTCATCTTGGACAGAGATAAAAGACGGATGTCGCATTAGGTCTGTAAAACAGATTGAGTATATACATGTACTGTCTAGGGTATAGTATATACATACATATACTGCTGTCTAGGGTATAGTATATACATGTACTACTGTCTAGGATATAGTATATACAGTTTAGGGTTAGGGTAGTATATACATTTACTACTGTGTCTAGGGAGAAAATAACATAATATTTTTCTCTTTTACAGAATTCTGTGAATCTAATAGCAAAGATAATACGAGAAATTCCCAAGCTGAGTGACGATTCTAGAGAAACTATCTATACATACAAACAAAAAGTTCAACAACGTTTCATAAACTCATGACCTCATGTGCAAAAAATAGTTTTTAGGAGAAGTCTGTGATATTGTTATGGTAAAACTATTCAATTCTCCTCCGTGTTTGTTAAAGTATTTATTCTCCCGTTAATCTTGATTTGATACAAATATTGCGCAGTTGTAACTTTTTATATATTTTTAAAAATTATTTTTGTAAATTTGTGATATATTTATATTGTACAATTATTATTTTAATTTTATATAAAATATTTGGTGTATATTTATTATTATTATGCCTGGGAGGTGGCTGAATGGTTAACACGTGGATCAGAAGGTCTGTCATTAAGTCAAGTCTTGATTGTCAAATTTGTTTTGGAGCCGTCTCAGAGTTGCCCGAGGAAGTTCATCTGTATTTTCATGTCAGTTGTAGAGGACATGCCAGGGGACAGTGTCTAGTCTTTTGGAGCAGACAAAAAAATGAAATCAACATGGATATTTGTTGCCATGCCCATAAAAGAATCCTTGAAAGTTGAAATTCAATTAAGAATTTCCATAAGACACATTCTTCTCTCTCTTCCTGTCTTAATTCCCAGGGAGCCTCAGTGAGTAAGACATTGGCTCGCCAACACGGAAGTCCAGTGTTTGCCAAGAAAAGTTCCAGCTTGATTCCATTTGTCAGTGGTGCAGGAAGGGAGACCTGGCAAGAGATAATGTATAGTCCTTCGGATGGGACATATAGTGTGCACTTACAAGAACCCTTGGCAGTTGGAATTTGATATTAGAGTAGGAAGTAGCACCGCTGTCCTGTCAGTGCAAAACAGGACGTTAAACCCCATTTTATTAAAGGCTCAATACCACTCTTGTTGTAACTGAATAATATGTCCCAGTCTTTATTCTGGTCAACAAATTGTACTATTTTAGAATATTTCAATTAATTGATGATACAAATTTCATCTTAACACACCTTATTTAAACATTTTGAAAAATGCAACATAATGGTTTGAAACGTCTAACGTAAACCTTTTCAAATGAAACTTCGATTTAAAAATATTTTTGCACCCTCTGGACAAGTAAAATAGGATGTACTGGATAATTTACACAACAGGTAGGACACTTAAACATCGAGTACTTAGATAGAGATATTATTTATTTTCTGGAGCTTTCAAGCCAGCAAGAGTGTTATTGTCCCTTTAAGGGTTGGCGGCTACACTAGGGCTGTCTACTAATATTTGACTGTCGTTTGTTGAGGGTTGACGGCTACACTAGGGCTGTCCCAAGGCTGAAATTCGATACATGTAGCTGAATCTGGGAAGTAACATAGGCCTGGTGGCATTGGATGACTACCGCTTCCTGTTTCAGAGTTTTACTACTTTCAACTCGTGCAGCGCCGGGTCATCTGCTAGTCAAACATATTCCTAGAGTTAATCATAAAATAAAACTTGGAAATCTATGATTTAACAATAAAAAACATTTATTCATGGTTAAATTAAAGCTAAATTATATGAATGCTTCACATCAGAAAATCAAAAAACAAAATTCATAAAATGAGAATATTCAAGATAAATAATACTGATAAAATTGGTAGAAATCATTTTACACCATTATATAAACTGATGACTCAATAGTTCACACCATTATATAAATATAAAACTGATGACTCGACAGTTTGTATATAGATATATTATTGTTAGTGCTAAATCTGTCTATTGCAGGTCGTTTTCTCACTTAAATGTTATATAAACTACTATTTAAACATTTTTTATTCACATGACAAGCCCATAATCATCTCTCTAGATCATCGAATAGCCGGGATATTAGGTGGATTACACAATGTCCGCCATATGGAAAACTGACATATCTTCATTAAACATTACAAATGAAAATCGAGAGTTGGTTTATTATCGTAAAAATGGTACTTAAAAATTTATTTTCCAAGTTGTACAGCTAATCGAAAAAGTAAAACATTAAAATGTCAAAAACTAAATATGTATATATTACAAAAACAAGACAACTATAACAGTGAATGTATTCATATACAAATATAAGTAACAGTTGATAAATGTGGGACAGAGACATAAATATGGAAGATAAATAGATTTTGATTAAAAGCTCAAAAATAGATCAATGGTATACGTGGGCATGCAATACTATCAATGGTATACGTGGGTATGCAATACTATCAATGGTATAAGGGGATAAGGGGGCATGCAATACTATCAATGGTATACGGGGGCATGCAATACGTGGGCATGCAATACTATCAATGGTATACGGGGGCATGCAAAACACGGGCATGCAATACTATCAATGGTATACGCAATAAAGGATGCAAACATATGAATAAAAGATCATAAATGCATCATAGTTTGATTCTGTTTATGTTAAGACTGGACAACAATACTTAATACAAAAGATGTGAGCTGGTTAATCAAGACAACAATACGAAAGACACAAGCTTGTTAATCAGGACAACAATATCACCATTGCTGTGAATAGTTGGTTGACTGAAATATAGAAAAACAAAAAGATAAAATTTCTGAATTTCTGTTATTTTATTGAAAGTCTTAAAGAAGACTAGTTTTACGTTAAGTAGCAGAAAGGCTCGCTAACCTGAAGGTTGCGTGTTCGGTCCCTGCATTGGCCAAGAATGTTCATCGAGAGTTTCTGGCATGGTTTCCAGAATGTGTACACTTGGCTTGCATGTAAAAGATCCCCTGGCAATTAGAATTTGATATAAGAGTAGGCCATAGTGCCACTGTCCTCGCAAAATTTCCCTCATAGCACAATGTATGGCATATGCCCGTCTTCCTCAGACTTGTAAGAACAGAACAATAGGACGTTAAACCCCATTTCATTTCATTTTTCATTAACCAGACGGTCCGGGATTCGGTCCTGTTGTTGGTCGATTTAAGGAGGTAAATTTTGCTGCAATATGACCAACGGACAACTAGACGTATGATGTCAGGTCCTCGGTCCTTCACCACCAACAATCCTACAGCGAACCCCGGGATCTAACTCATCATTAGATTACCAAACTTTATAATTTTGTAGATCTCATTTTCTCTGGGTTTACATCGGTAATTAAATTGTTGAAAACTGATTCTTTAATTTAAAATTAAGACTTACCGAGAGCCTATCAGGCAACTTGGCCGAGTAAACAACCAACTTTGTTTTTCCTGTTCTGTACCTGTAAAAAAAAAGTAATTTATTAAAGATACATTATGTAAGATTTAGATAAAGAACTAACCATTCTTGCTATAATAGTTCGAAAGTAGATGATGTAAAATGAATAATTGAAAATTTCATTCAAATTACTCTACTGCAAGCGAAGATATTAGCCTTTGAAGGTTTGACAGACGTGTGCAATAATTTCAACCACCGTACTGGTTGATTGAAGCTAAGACTCGGTCCTCTATATTTGATTAAATCAAAGTATCGCTGAACCATTCTAATCTATTTAATATTGGAGAAAACTGATGCCATCGAGAGTTGATTAAGGCCTGGATCAGTTAATTAATGTCTAATTAATACTTTAGAAAACATTTCAGGCCTAAAGAAAGACCTGCAATAGGCAGATTTACCTCTTGAATAATGTATGTTTAACTATATACTATAATTTATCTGGTTCTGTACATGTCAGAAACATACATATTAACAGAGTTCATAGATCAACTACATTATAATTTCCATGACAAAACTGGTCAGAAATATTTTATATGTACTTCAAATTTTTTTCTGATAATTTATTTTAATTACCCTAGCTAAACACTGATTTAATTATAGTTTAAGATTTCTACACCATGCAATCCATGAAGAAGAGCAAACATGGGGAACCAATCAGGAGATGAGTTTGTGACAGAGTTATCCCCCCTTTAATCTTCAAAACAAGTTTCCCAGTTCAACCATACAGACTTATTCTGACTTAAACTTGAATTATGTTATTGAATAACAGGGTAAGATATCTAGTTTAATTATTTCATAATGAAGGAAAGCTTACAACATCTAAAATATTACAAAAATATTAACATTTCAATTTGTAGCACTGAATTATCTCCCCTTAGTCTACAATGGATTTAAAGGATTATTGCCCTAAACCCCTTTAAATATCTCTTTGGGTTGCCCGATCAATAGTTGATACAGAGAGAGAGAAAGAGAGAAATGGGGTTTATTGTCCACTCGACACAAACTAGGTTATTTTGGGACTAACATATGGTTTCATTTTATTTCAATAATTCGCTTGCACGTAGGGGTCTATAGCAGTGGGAGGAAACCGGAGGACCCGGACAAAACCCATGAGGTTAGACAGGCGATCCTAATCCTTGTCACGTACAGCCGGGGATTCGAAACTACCCCAGTTGGTCAATGACAGGCCTTATGATACAACGCGCACGTGCTAACCATTCGGTCATCCAACCCCCAGTAGTTGATACAATTACAATTGATGGACACAGAAATGACTTCTACTATGGTATTACTAGTTCTGATTACAGATCTTATTCACTCGAATCTCAACTAAAATATTTTAGGAAACCAGCCTTTTCATTGGCTAAGATATTTATATTTTAGGAAACCAGCCTTTTCGTTGGTTAAGATATTTATATTTTAGGAAACCAGCCTTTTCGTTGGTTAAGAGATCAAATCTGTACAGTACTAGGACTTTAATCTTAAAGCAAAGAAACAGTTTGTATCTTTTAAATATTTTATGTTTAAGTTTTCATGAAAAGGGTCCAACATTGTGATGTAATGCTTCAGCAACAGTGATTGAATGACCGAGGTAGCTTCCAAGTCAGTTGACAAGCGCCTAGCCATCTCAAATTCTTGAGTTTTCACACCTTCTGCTGTTATGACAGGAATTGATTTCGAGACACCGAATCGATTAAAATCACCCCCCCCCCCCAACCACTACATAAATTTGACAGATTAAGAAGATCTTACTTCTGTATATCTTTGTCTGTGATTCCTGGAGGACTTCCAACTTTTCTAATACCATCTCCTTCCATGTTGTAAGACATCTGCTGGACCTGATCCATCTGTTCTAGCAATATATTATCAGGGTTGGAATTATACGCATCCTGCAATATAAAAATTCTTCAAAGTTTTAATTCCAGGTCTCTTGATGTACTCAATGACTGGTAGTAAATTCTGAAACCATCCACAGAGAATGAGAAATAGGGTTTAACGTCCACTCGACACAAACCAGGTCATTTCGGGAATAACATATGGTTCAATTTTACTTCAAGAATTCGCTTGCGCACAGGGGTTTTAACGTCCACTCGACACAAACCAGGTCATTTCGGGAATAACATATGGTTCAATTTTATTTCAAGAATTCGCTTGCGCATAGGGGTCTTTACCAGTAGGAGGAAACCTGAGGGAGAACCCATGAGGTTGGATAGGCGACCCTACTCCTTGTCACATACAAACAGGGAATAGAAACCACACCAGTTGACTCAATGACAGACCATCTGATCCAACATGCACACGTTTAACCGTTTGCGACCCCCTTCTATTTGTTTGTCCCCTACGCCAGCACAATCCCTGAAATAATGATAGGGGACAGTAGGCCTAAACAAACAAACATCAGGCTCCAATAATGATTGGGGACAGTAGGCCCAAACAAACAAACATCAGGCTCCAATAATGATTGGGGACATTAGGCCCAAACAAACAAACATCAGGCTCCAATAATGATTGGGGACATTAGGCCCAAACAAACAAATATCAGGCTCCAATAATGATTGGGGACATTAGGCCCAAACAAACAAACATCAGGCCCCAATATATCAAAACAAGAAAACTTACAATGAATTGTTTTTTCTTGCTAGCCTGCATATCAAGGAATTTTTGTTTTCTTCTAGCTTCCATGTGTTCATTAATACCAGAGGCAGCCATCTTTAATAATTTTACAAACAAATGGTAATTCTGGAAGAGAATTAAATGAATCTCATATTAGATCTAGATTAGAAATGATATGTAGACAGACTGGTGGTTCAAGACTAAACTATTACCGCTGTGAAACAGTTTGATCAAAGCTATGAATCTGCCGTTATACTGTCTGAGTCTGATTGACATGTCCAAAATACCAAATTTATTCACAATCTTTGAAATGACTTTGTTTATCAAAACTTCATACAAATAATAAATCTAGGATCTAGGCCAATATATATCTATTCCATATCCATAATCCTTACTCATTACTGGCCTTCCTTCGGATCATTTTAGCTGGTCTGTGTGTTTTTGAAAAATAATTCTTCGTAGATCATATAGGCCTAGATCTATACGGTATTATTAATAATTATTATCTTTTGGAATAGATCTACCTACAGTAAACTTCGCAACGAATATGGAACGAAATGTATGAAATTCTTACAAAAGCAAATATAAACATAAATATAACACAAAAGGAAATTCACCTTGGTTGCCTAGATAAATCAGTTTTTGACAATATTAACAAATGGACTTTTGTAAATCAAATAATATTTTTAACTAAGTATTACATATATAATAAATCAAAAATAGAAGCAAATATTCCTACCCGCGAAAGATACAGAGCATTTTTACAAAGTAAAAAATCCTTAGAACTGGAAATTTTTAAAACTAATAAGAAGATACTTAATAAATGGACATTTTTACCGCATACCCAAATAAAACAGAAATAAACAAAAATTATTGTTATTAAATTATATGAACAACACGGTAGCTAAACGTACTTAAGTCCTTTCAACTTTCGACTTTCATTTCGTGGAAAGGATGTGTACTTTAATCTACCGCTTAACAGCTTAAAATTTTGCCTTAAAATGTACAAAAAAGGTCGCTAATAATGTCAAGACTCTGGCCTCCTTAAGGGGAGATAACACATCTTGGGGGAAAACCAAGCTAAATATAATTACACATAATAAAACAGTACCCTTTGAGACTAATAGAAGTAACGTATTCCCTGCACACAATACTAAAGATAATCATCTACTGGCAATAATAAATGAATGTTAAATAAATGATTTTGAAATTGTATGATATAATTATATGTACATATGATGTAATGATAAACCCTATAATGTAATAATACTGTATGATGTACCTGTTATCTGTTATGTAATATTTTTAAAAAAAAAAAAAAGAAAAAAAAAAAGTAGGCCTAAACTTCGCATAAGTCGTATTTGTATAATAAGTCGGATCTTCACTCAACTCGAATAAAATCGTTTGGACCCTTTGATCCTGCACGTTTTTCTTATTAAATTTCTACGCTTAAGTCAGATCTTTGCTCAGGAGTTAGCGAAGTAGTAGGCTTTTTATTATACTTAGCCTAATTTTGCAATCGAATTTAAGCAATGGGATTTAACAAACACTAACTTTAGTGTAGTAATTTTTTCAAGCGCATTGACGATTGTTTAATTATTGCAAAATTTTCACTAGGCCTAGATCTATGCCAACATGTAGGCCTAGTTCTTATAGGCCTAGTGTAGTAGGCTATTTTAATTTACTATTATACTTCTTTGAATCCAAAATCCAAGATTAGATTTGCAAAGAAAAAGATGTGAAGCGGACAAAAATAAATATCGTCATATATCGTTGATGATTCGTTTTAAAAAAATCCTACCTAGATTCTACCCGATTCGAAAATACACAATCGAGTTGGTTAGGAATCTTACCTCGGCTGTAACTTTTAGCAGGTGGAATGAATGTTTTCAGACCAGGCCCAGATTAATCATAAAAAAAGAAGAAAAAGTAATCGTGTTGCTAAGAAACAGAAAACAAAGCGATACCTATCGTGTTTTTTCTATTCTAAAGAGCAAGTAAGGGGAAGCAACCTTGATTACGAATACAACCGGAAGTCAAAATATCCATAGTGATCGTCCATTTTTTTCTAGCTGTCAAAAAGTATTTATTTTTTCGGTCTATTTATTTCTTAGGATAACATCAAAATTATTTGACTTCAGCCCAAATTCATTTCACAAAATGGAAGAGCAAAATGTTAACAGGTAATCTAATATTGCGAGAAGGTTCTTTCATTTAATCCTCCTAGTATGAAAGGGTAAATCTATAAAAGTAGGCCTCCTCCTGTACTCATACTGGCTATAAACTATCGAGAGTTAATTAGTAATAGTACTAACTAAGTAATACTACGATTGAAATTTAGTGACAAATTGAAGGGGGATGAATCGTTTTGACTTTTGATTGTAAATAAATAATGTTTATATCTAAAGTTTGTAAAACCTCCCCTCATTAAATCAGTTCATATCTTATTCTTAATATCAATTTGAATTGAATTACAGTCTTAGTTCAGCTTTGAACGTAGGTATCATTCCATTCGTCCTGTTAGCCTGTACGTTCAGAAACCACCCTATTGAATCCTTGTCGAAAAAGAATTGGCCCCCAGTCAAATTTCATTTCGTCATATATGGATTATGGTTGTCATGGAGACAAATTTGCTTTCAAATCTTGTGTTCAATTTTGGAAATCATTATTTTCAGTGAAGTACCAAAAATAGGAGTGGATGTGAACAGTCCTGATGAGGAGAAGAAAGGTGATGAAATACCTGAAATACCTGAAGCAACTTCAGCTGCTTTAAAGTTTCTAGAAAGTCTAGGTGAGATATTACACTAACACACCCCATTGTAATATCAAAGTCTAAAACACTTTATATTTGAATGGCGACAGTTGTCTAATCCATCTGATGGCCTAGAGAGTTGATTATGGGCTTTATATCGTTCCATAAAAGTCCAACTACTAAATGAAAAAGTGAAATAATTTTCATAATGTTTTTTTTTTTTTCAGTTCCAGAAACCGATTTTAAATATATGATGTTTGACGACAAACTTGTCACAATCTCTGATACGGGCAAAGAACTGGGAGAATTTTGTGTGACGATCGAACCCACCAAACATTGTAACCAGGACTGTTTTCTGGTGCACGCTAATAGTCACGGGGCTATTGACGGAGTACCATGTGGGACGTCTATAACTTGTTACGTCACACGGAATCTAGAAACAATTGAACAGCACCACCATGAGTATGTTAATGTAAGAATCACTTCTCTTAGTTTTTCATGTCAAATACTTTTTCTCTATAATTCAAGTTTTTGAAGCAAAATTGTTGACTATTTAAAGCGATAATTTCATATTTTCTAAGAAAGTCAAAAACATAATTATTTCTATGTCTTTTGCTCAATAGGTTATCAACTCACTATTATACGACCATGGGCATTATTTCTCACCCTTAAAAATCATTGACACAGGAAATAATAACACAATTACCAGTACCTCCCTTGTTTTCCTATTGCCTCCATGCATTAGCTATCTTCAAACGTTGGAATTTGAAGTTGAAAATGATATTTTTGCCAATTTCTCAGCTGGCAATAGTGACTTATACTAACTTATAGGATTAATAGGATTATTCTTTAACAAGGTAGGACGGTTTATAGATACCATCTATTTTAAAGCTTTATTTTAATAAATTTTAAAAATATAACTTAAAAATATGAAATTGCAGCTTTAAAACATCAACCGGTTCTTTAACTTTAGAGGAGTTGGGTGGCCGAATGGTTTTTATGTATGGGCCTTAGATCATAAGGTCTGTCATTGAGTCAAGTGGTGTGGTTGTGATTCCCCACTTGTACATGACAAGTGGTAGGGTCGCCCGTCTTGTCATTGATTCAGGTTGTGTGGTTACGATTCCCTGCTTGTATGTGACAAGGAGTAGGGTCGCCCGTCTTCCCACAGTTAAAGACCCCTAGTTTGTCTCAAGTGGACGTTAAACCTCTCTCTCACTTCTGGTCAGTTGAAACTGGCATATGACTGAAAGCCAATCTAATCATTCATTAAAGATTATTATTGAGTCATGACTATATTCTAATACAAGCCTGTCGGCTAAGTGAAATCAGTAATACTCACGAACCTGGAGATCCTGTATTTGATCCCTGCGTATTTCCCCATGGTGCTGTGGCCTGAAAAGGGACAATATGTATAGTCATTTGGATGCAAAGCAAAACCAAGGTCCGGTGTATACATTAATGTACACGTAAAAGAACCTTGGCATTTGGAATTCGATATAAGACAAGGCTGTAGCGCTGCTGTCCAGAAAAATTACCCTCATGGAAAACTTAATGTTAGTGTATGCCCATCTTCATTATCCCAGTTGAAGCAAAACAGTAGGACGTTAAACTCAATACTCTAATATATAATTTCAGCTTGATAATTGTCCTTTAGATAGAAAAACAAATATAGTCAAGCAGGAAACAGAATATACAGTGAACAGAATAATTACCCAAGGGGAGGTAAGTTCAGTTTGTCATGTTATCAGCTGGAGTAAGACTACTAACTCTCTCCCCATTGACTATAATGCTAATTTCATGACAGCATTATCTTCATCTTTATAACCACAACACACCCATCTTCAATAGAAGGCTTGATCTTGCTTTAACTCTGTACATCTTCAATAGAAGGCTTGATCTTGCTTTAACTCTGTACATCTTCAATAGAAGGCTTGATCTCGCTTTAACTCTGTACATCTTCAATAGAAGGCTTGATCTTGCTTTAACTTCGTACATCTTCAATAGAAGGCTTGATCTTGCTTTAACTCTGTACATCTTCAATAGAAGGCTTTATCTTGCTTTAACTCTGTACATCTTCAATAGAAGGCTTGATCTTGCTTTAACTCCGTACATCTTATCTAGCCCTTCACACAATACCCTGCATATATTGGCACTAATTTCGATTGGGTATTTACCCAGCTTGTGAGCCTTTTAGATTCCTCGACCATCGCGAATACCAAGTATCGCGTTTTACAGCTAAATTGTTTACCTGTAATAATTGAGTTGCAAAGTTTAAGGTTCATTCCAGTGTCATGGTTTCCATGGATGTCATTATATTTGATTTGAGCGCGTTTGTGTCCAAACCTCTGCTTGGACGCTGCTGTTCACGTGTGTGCAGTAAATTGAGATAACATAGCTATAAGTTTGGGAATTGTGAAGTAATCTAGGAATGCATCACGCATGTCTGAATAAAAATATCGAAAGGGGGCTGATCATCTCAATTTCTTTTTCTTCAACTGGTCAAACGAATCCATAGGCTCGAACATCCTTTTTGTACATCCAGACCCTACCCTCCAACCACAGAGCATATTTTGTTCCTAGTAAATTTATCTAAATAATGTCATACTCCACACCTAAATAAACAGAAATATTGTCTTGGGTATCATCTTAAAATATTCTCAGATATAATCTCCCAGAAACCAAACTTGACTTTATCTCCATCTGTTCATGTCAGAAAATATTACTTCAAACACTCTAGGGGGGGTTGGATGGCTGAATGGTTAGCATGTGCGTTCTGTATCATAAGGTCTATCATTGAGTCAACTGGCATGGTTTCGATTCCCCAGTTGTACGTGACAAGGAGTTGGGTCGCCTGTTCAACCTCGTGGGTTTTCTCTGGGTCCTCCGGTTTCCTCCCACTGCTAAAGACCCCTATGCACAAACAAGTTTGTGGCGAGTGGACGTTAAACTCCATTTCTACCTCGCTTTGATAACAAAAACTGCCATGCAACATGGAGAAAGACATTTACCTTATGATAATATATTAAAATAGAAACAAGCAGTGCCGTGAACTTAATAAATTATTTTTCAGGCTGTGGAACGTAAAAATAAAACTTTTTCTTTTGATGATATGAAAGGTTTCATTTCTGAAGGTGAGTGAAAACAAATTTTAACGACATTCAGGGAGTCCATTTAGGGATCCATTGACCTATTGAAGTAGACAAACGAATCTGATTATAATTAAATTTTTTGTTCGTTTGTATTTAATGGTTCTAATTTTCTACCATATAGAGGGAGAGAAATGGGGTTTAACGTCCACTCGACACAAACTAGGTCATTTCGGGACTAACATATGGTTTAATTTTTTTTCAATAATTCGCTTGCGCGTAGGGGTCTTTAGCAGTGGGAGGAAACCAGAGGACCCGGAGAAAACTCACAAGGTTGGACAGGCGACCCTACTCCTTGTCACGTACAACCGAGGATTCAAAACCATTTGACTCAATGACAGGCTTTATGATACTTCTACCATATATAAGATCTAACATGTATCAAGACCAACCTGCATTGGGGTCGGTAGGAAAGGGGGGGGGGGATCCGAATGGTTTAACACATTTTAGATCATAAGGTCTGTCATTGACTCAAGTGGCCATGAGAGATATTTTTGATCCAGAAACATAAAACTTTGCACATAGTTTATTATTGATGTATTTGATACATTAAAACAACAAAAGTTTTAGTTAAAATAAGGCGAAAGGTTTTGCGTAAATTCTTGACTTAAGTCTGAGAATGTTTTGTTAAAGCAACGTGTGGTTTTCTGTGGTGCTGTATTGAAAACCCTCTAGTCATTCCGATGGTCAAAAAGTATCTAGTCATTCTGATGGTCAAAAAGTATCTAGTCATTCTGATGGCCTAAAAGTATCTAGTCATTCTGATGGTCTAAAAGTATCTAGTCATTCTGATGGTCAAAAAGTATCTAGTCATTCTGATGGTCAAAAAGCCTCTAGTCATTCTGATATTCAAAAAGCCTCTAGTCATTCGGATGGTCAAAAAGCCTCTAGTCATTCTGATGGTCAAAAAGCCTCTAGTCATTCTGATGGTCAATCAGAGGTTGTGTGTAAACCATTAGCAGCACATTGGGAATGGAAATAAGGGCAGGCCGTTGACCTGTTGTACTGGCATCATGGGGAATGGAAATAAGGGCAGGCCGTTGACCTGCTGTACTGGCATCATTGGGAATGGAAATAAGGGCAGGTCGTAGCCCTGTTGTACTGGCATCATTGGGAATGGAAATAAGGGTAGGCCGCAGTCCTGTTGTACTGGCATAATTTCTACATGGTGTATGCCTACCGTCATAAGTCCAATGAAGTACAGCATTAATCTCCATTTCATTTCATATTAGATAGTTTCTGTGCCTGTGACAGATAGAGAAACTAAGTCATTTCGGGACTAACATGGTTCAATTTTATTTCAATAGATTGCTTGCACAGTAGGAGGAAACCGTGGGACCCAGAGAAAACCCATGAGGTTAGACAGGTGACCTTACTCCTTGTCACGTACTCACGTACAAACATTCAATCGAAACAATGTCACTTCACTAAATGACAGACCTGAAGATCTAAAGCCCATTCAGACACTCACTACCTGGTACCACTGTACAACTAGTGATGTCAGAAATGAAATGAAATGAAATGAAATGGGGTTTAACGTCCTACTGTTCTGCTCCTATACTGGGATAATGAAGACGGGCATATGCCATACAGTGTGCTTTGAGGGAAATTTTGCCTGGGCAGCGGCACTATCGCCTACTCTTATATCGACTTCCAGGGGATCTTTTACGTGCATTCCAATGTATACACGGGACCTTGGTTTTTCGTCTCATCCGAAGGACTAGACAGCTGTCCTTGTCAGAGTGATGTCAGAATTTAATACTCCATGTTTTCATTATACAATTTTTCAGGATCAAATTTATTATTACATCGATTGCTGATTCAATTTTTCAGGATCAAATTTATTATTACATCGATTACTGATTGAGAAAGGAATGCCTGATGATGATTTTCAGTTGGTTTCATTTGATTCTGAAACGAATCTGTGTGCTGCAACATATGTAAGTATTCACAAACATTTGGTCTGTATCGTAAAACTACTATACTATAAAACAAACATTGTTTCCATTGGTCACTGCCTGGGCCAAATTTCCTTTAGCACAGTATGAACTTTTGTAAACTAATAGTCTCATGGTGTGATTTTAACACAGTATGAACCCTTGTAAACTAATAGTCTCAAGGTATGAACCCTTGTTAACGTATAGTCTCATGGTGTGATTTTAACACAGTATGAACTCTTGCAAAAGACAATATTGTGAAAGTTGAATCTCTAATAGAAATATCAGTCTAAAATGGCTCAATTCCTTTCAGTATTTACACAGATATGTTCAATTGAAATTTCATCAATCTTTGCCACTCGCTATGTAATAAATTCTAGCCTGGAGGTCGGGTGTTCGATCCCTGCATTGGCCGAGAAAGCTCATCCAGATTTTCCGGCGTGGTTTCCCGTTGTCCGTGATGCAGGACGGAGGGTCTGACAAGGACAGCTGTCTAGTCCTTCGGATGAGACGAAAAACCGAGGTCCCGTGTATATATTGGAATGCACGTAAAAGATCCCCTGGCAGTTGGAATTTGATATAAGAGTAGGCGATAGTGCCGCTGCCGGGGCAAAATTTCCCTCATAGCACACTGTATGGCGTATGCCCGTCTTCATTAGCCCAGTATAGGATCAGAACAGTAGGATGTTGAACCCTATTTCATTTCATGTCATGTAATAAATCTGTTGCTATTTTGTTGTGGGTGAACAGAATTGATAGACCAATTTTAAATCGGGGGGTTGGATGGCTGAATGGTTAGCGTGCGCGCGCTGTATCATAAAGTCTGTCATTGAGTGGACTGGCGTGGTTTCGAATCCCTGGTTGTACGTGACAAGGAGTAGGGTCGCCTGTCCAACCTCGTTGGTTTTCTCCGGGTCCTCCGGTTTCCTCCCACTGCTAAAGACCCCTACGCGCAAGCGAATTATTGAAATAAAATTAAACCATATGTTAGTCCCGAAATGACCTAGTTTGTGTCGAGTGGACGTTAAACCCCATTTCTCTCTCTCTCTCCAATTTTAAATCTGATTGAATCCCAGCTGAATGACAATTGTTTACACCTAATTAGACCATTCTTCCCGTTTTTTTAAATTATTATTTTACCATTTGTGAATCAGCCATTACTATTTACTACCACATTGTAATGTGTTTCTTTGTTCATTGATTTTGCGCCCGAAACGATACGGTACACGACTTATGTACCATATTTTAAAACGTTCATTGTGTCTTAAATATTGCATACTAGCAGGATACCCGGCTTCGCTCGGGGGTCATAACTCCGAAACCGGAAGTGGTAGACTAACGCCACCTGGCCTATGTTACTCCCCGGTCCAAGCTACCCCTATACCCCAAATTTCAAACTCGGGGCAGACCTAGTGTAGCCGCCAACCCTGAACAGACCGGCTTCGCTCGGGGGTCATAACTACGAAACTGGAAGTGGTATACTAACGCCACCTCGCCTATGTTACTCCCCGGCCCGAGCTACCCCTATACCGCAAATTTCAGACTCGGGGCAGACCTAGTGTAGCCGCCAACCCCGAACAGATAGACTTCGCTCGGGGGTCATAACTCCGAAACCGAAAGTGGTAGACTAACGCCACCTGGCCTATGTTACTCTCCGGTCCGAGCTACCCCTATACCCCAAATTTCAGACTCGGGGCAGACCTAGTGTAGCCGCCAACCCCGAACAGACCGGCTTCGCTTGGGGGTCATAACGCCGAAACCGGAAGTGGTAGACTAACGCCACCTAGCCTCTGTTACACCCCAGTCCGAGCTACCCCTATACCCCAAATTTCAGACTCGGGGCAGACCTAGTGTAGCCGCTAACCCCGAACAGACCGGCTTCGCTCGGGGGTCATAACTCCGAAACCGGAAGTGGTAGACTAACGCCACCTGGCCTATGTTACTCCCCGGTCCGAGCTACCCCTATACCCCAAATTTCAGACTCAGGGCAGACCTAGTGTAGCCGCCAACCTCGAACAGACAGACAGACAGACAAACGACAGTCACAAATATTAGTATAGATATTTCATTTATTACTTAACTAGCAGGATACCCGGCTTCGCTCGGGAGTCATAACTCCGAAACCGGAAGTGGTAGACTAACGCCACCTGGCCTATGCTACTCCCCGGTCCGAGCTACCCCTATACCCCAAATTTCAGACTCGGGGCAGACCTAGTGTAGCCGCCAACCCCGAACAGACCGACTTCGCTCGGGGCTCATAACTCCGAAACCGGAAGTGGTAGACTAACACCACCTGGCCTATGTTACTCCCTGGTCGGAGCTACCCCTATACCCCAAATTTCAGACTCGGGGCAGACCTAGTGTAGCCGCCAACCCCGAACAGACAGACTTCGCTCGGGGGTCATAACTCCGAAGAGGTAGACTAACGCCACCTGGCCTATATTACTCCCCGGTCCGAGCTACCCCTATACCCCAAATTTCAGACTCGGGCAGATGTAGCCGCCAACCCCGAACAGATAGACTTCGCTCGGGGGTCATAACTCCGAAACCGGAAGTGGTAGACTAATGCCACCTGGCCTATGTTACTCCCCGGTCCGAGCTACCCCTATACCCCAAATTTCAGACTCGGGGCAGACCTAGTGTAGCCGCCAACCCCGAACAGACCGGCTTCGCTCGGGGGTCATAACTCCGAAACCGGAAGTGGTAGACTAACGCCACCTGGCCTATGTTACTCCCCGGTCCGAGCTACCCCTATACCCCAAATTTCAGACTCAGGGCAGACCTAGTGTAGCCGCCAACCTCGAACAGACAGACAGACAGACAAACGACAGTCACAAATATATATATAGATTAGGATTTCACAACATCAATATGGATTGAAATTGACTAATATTGAATTCTAATTTTGAATATTATGGAAAATATTGAGTTAGAGACTTGACTCATTTAAATGTTAAATATTGAGTTAGAGACTTGACTCGTTTAGATGTTAAATTATCAATCTGAGTACATATAAATAAGAATGAACTAAACTGTGAGAAATTGATATTTTAGTTGAAGACACATCGTTACCTTAACTAATATTATAGTTTTAAATGAGAGTTAAGATAACCTGAAATGATTTGTGTATTTTTTTATTACAGAAATGTTTAGAGGAGAGAACACAGACAGTTGAAGCCATAGAGTTACGAGTTTATGGTATTGAGAGAACCATCAATTCAAAAACAGATTTACCAACAACATGGCAATCATATTTTACACAAGATGGGTAAATCATTAATAATTCTTTACTTTAAACAGAAGGGGTAAATCATTAGTAATTCTTAAATAACACAAGATGGGTATCATTTTTAAATACACAGTATGGGTAAATCATTTTTAGATACACAGGATGGGTAAATCATTTTTAAATACACAGGATGGGTAAATCATTTTTAAATTACACAGTATGGGTAAATCATTAATAATTATTTTTTTTTGTCAACCAATGTTGGATATTGTTATGGGTGGGGTGTTTTAGTGGTGTGATTGAGTCATGTGATGTGGTCTCGATTCCCCGCTTGTGCGTGACATGATCTAGTTTTGAGTCAAGTGGAAGTTAAACCACTTTTCTCTCTCTATGCTGTTTCAGTCTGATGTTGGTAGGGCATGGACCTAACGTCTGGAATGTCCTCAGTTCTCACATGTCAGGGATGGTGTCTGCTGACATGTCAGGGATGATGTCTGCTGACATGTCAGGGATGGTTTCTGCTGACATGCCACGGATGGTGTCTGCTGACATGCCAAGGATGGTGTCTGCTGACATGCCACGGATGGTGTCTGCTGACATGCCACAGATGGTGTCTGCTGACATGTCACGGATGGTGTCTGCTGACGTGTCACGGATGGCGTCTGCTCACAAGGAAATTGTCATTTAAAGAAAAGTGAAATGAAATGAAATGAAATGGGGTTTAACATCCTACTGTTTTGCTCTGAACTGGGCTAATTAAGACGGGCTAAAGAAAAGTGAGCAGAAATATATCTGACTGATCAAAGTCCCCAGGTATACGCCATACAGTGTGCTATCGGGGAAATTCTGCCTGGACAGCGGCGCTACAGCTTACTCTTATATTGGATTCCAACTGTCACTGTAATTCAGGTATCATTTAATCTTGTGTATCTACCACTAATTTCTTTTACATTCATTTAATATCAAATCCTTGTTTAAAAATTTGTAAAAATCATTTAAAATCACCAAAATTCATTTAATTTTTACTTGTGTCCAGTTTAAAGCTGACCATTCAATTTTGATAATGAATGTCCAGTGTTTAATCACTGTTAAAAAATAAACAACCCAATTGATTATTGATGCATGATGATTAATTTGTGAACAGTGGTCAGGAAATTAAATACTAGTAAATTGGACACTCATTATCAAAATTAATCAGTCAGCCTTAAACTGGACACTAGTACAAATTAGATGATTTTGGGTGATTTTAAATGATTTTTACAACTTTTTAAACAAAGATTCTATATTAAACGAATGTGAAAGAAATTAGTGTTAGATACACAAGATTAAATGATACCTGGGTTACAGTGTGTCAAGGGATCTGTTTTATGTGCATGGCAATGTGTACATGGGAGCTTGTTTTTTTGTCCCATCCGGATTTTCCGACGTGGTTTCCCCTTGTCAGTGGGGCAGAACGGAGGGCCTGACAAGGACAGCTGTCTAGTCCTTCGGATGAGACGGAAAACCGGGGTCCTGTGTCTATATTGGAATGCACGTAAAAGATCCCCTGGCAGTTGGAATTCGATATAAGAGTAGGCGATAGTGCCGCTGCCCTCATAGCACACTGTATGGCGTATGCCCGTCTTCATTAGCCCAGTAGAGGAGCAGAACAGTAGGACGTTAAACCCCATTTCATTTCATTTTTCCCTTGTCAGGTCCTCTGTCCTACACGACTGAGGCAGGGATCGAACTCAAGACATCGAGGTTAGCGAGCTGACATCTTACTCACTGAGCCACTATATTGATTTATTCCAGACATTTAACAAATCGTGTACAAGTTGGTTCACCTGTTGGGATGAAATTAGCTAAAGTACCCACTGCTGTTGTTAGAGGTAAGATATCTAGACCACTTGATACCACTTCCCTGTGGATTCTAATTCACCACAGCCTCGTCAGGGAGCTTAAGGTGACCTTTAATCCCTGGGGGTTTAAAGAACGGTTATAACGTGGGCGCGTTGCATCATAATGCCTGTATTTGAATCAAGTTGAGTGGTTTTAATTCCCCACTTGTATATAGAGTAGGGTCGTCTATCCAACCTCATGGGGTTTCTGTGGGTTCTCTGGTTTCCTCCAACTGCTAAAGATCTCTACGCGCAAAATTATTGAAATAGAATTTATCCATATGTTAGTCCCGAAATGACCTAGTTTGTGTCGAGTGGACGTTAAACCCCATTTCTCTCATCCTTTAATCCCTTTTACCCAGATAATAAATGTATTTAATTTTAAATGATATTTTATTCGTTGTAACCATATTCAAAGGACTGTTGAATGAGAATTCATTTAACTCTTTTTAAAACCACTAAAACTTTGTAAGACTCATAAATTGACACAATCACTGGCTTGACAAATGTCTCTCAAATTCCCTTGAAGGAACTGAAAATGTAAAGTTATTTCATGTCAAATGTAAAAATCCTGAGTTGAAATCAAGGTATAGATAGAATCTATCACTTTAAGTTTGTTTTATGCTACACTATGCAAATTTCAGGACAATTTGTATATTTTTTATACGCCCACATTTTATACTGACAATCGAACCGAGACAGTCTGACAAAATGGCTGCTCCCCTTTAAAAAAATAGTATAATAAGCATGTAATATACCAAGATTGTGGACCCTCTAGAGGTCACAATTGTTATCCGATTTTGATGAAACTTAAAATATGTGTTTCTCTCCCAAAGATCGTGGTTCCTTTCATTACTGATGCATGTAGAACGGTAACATCCTGGATTATGGGCCTGATTGTAAGAAAAATCAATTTGTTTTAGCTTGTTCTCTGTCCATCTCTTGCAAAATGTGGGCATATCTTGCATAGCAGCAGCATTTGTTTTATAACCCAGAAAAGTGATTGTTACGTTGTGTGGCGTGCATGTAAAAGATACCTTAACAATTGGAATTCGATATAAGAGTAGGGTGTAGTGCGGGTGTCTGGGCAAAATTCCCCTAATAACACACTGTATGGCGTATGCCTGTCTTCATTAGCCCAGTTCGGAGTAGGACATTAAACCCCATTTCATTTTATTTTATATTTTAGATGAAGAGCCACCTAAACCAGTATTTGAAAAGAGATCGTTAAATATAGAAGAGGATATGCAGATGTATTCAAAATTTCTAGATAGGAAGGTTTGTTATTGATTGATGTCACTCTTTTTTTTTGTAGTCCTTTGAATGTAATGAAGAATGAGGTCCCAGCTAGAACCTTTGACAGCCGGGATTAGATATAATATTAGGCCTTAGTGCCACTGTCCGGGCTAAATGTCGCTCATAGTACACTGTATGACGTATGCCCATCTTCAGTAGCCCAGTTGGTGCAGAAGAGTAGGACGTTAAACCCCATTTCATTTCACATATGAGTGTAATTAATATTGCAACAAATAGAGAATTTTGATATCAAATATCCCGGTACTAAGGAACAGCTGTTTGGGTCCCAATGGGTAATGGTAATTAATTACATTGCAAAAATTGAGAAAGTAATTGTAATAATTATATTTAAAAAAATAATGGTTTTGTAATTCATTACATTGGCAGTGTATTGGCCCCAGACCTGGTTTGGGATGGTTTTAGGCTGTCCACGAATGTACCGATAGATATATCACTTTTCTATAGTATTCTTAAGGTGTGGTGTAGAGTGGACTTTAAATTCACTTCTCTCTCTCTCTCTCTATTGCATAGGTTGGGAATTTCCTTCACAACTAATTTTAAAAATGTATAATTTCAGGAGGATATCAAAGGCGATCATGCCGTTTACATGAGACAACATCCAGAACTCAAAGCTCTTCTTGCAGACTTCCTGCAATTTCTGCTTCTTCGTAAACCTCAAGACGTCATCTCCTTCGCATCAGAATATTTCTCAGCATTTTCAACGACGGTGCCAAACCCATCTCCTTATTTGGCATCGAATGCTCCGACTCCTTTCCCGGTCAGTCGAGGCAATACCCGAATAGATCAGTTACGCACGCCAACCAGATAATTCAAAGACATGATCACCCAGACTGTAAATAAATGGTTCTCTGTTAACAGATTTTAAATAATTATTGGTTGTTTTTGTATCCATTTCCGGATTCCATTCTTTACATTCAAACCTTTACACTTAAGACCTGCTTTCAATGGATGAGAAAAAGTTGCTTGAATTGCCAATGAAATGGGAGTGTTTCGATGAGCGACTTTACCGCAGCATTTTTTTCTCTCTTGTGAAGTGTGCACATGCATGCCAACCAGATGTTTACTTTCTAGCATATATACACAGGTTCTCCTCGAATAAGTCAATCAACCGCTCTTGTTGCTGCAAAATCTTCATTTATGACAGGGTGAAGGTGGTAGAATGGTTTGATCATAAGGTCAGTCATTGAGTCAAGTGGCATAGTTTCGATTCCCTGCTTGTAATTGAGAAGTAGTAGGCTCGTCTGTTTAACCTCATGGGTTTTCATAAGATCTGTCATTGAGTCAAGTGGCCAGGTTTCGACAAGGAGTAAGGTCGCCTGTCCAACCTCGTGGGTTTTCATAAGGTCTGTCATTGAGTCAACTGGTGTGGTTTCGATTCCCCGCTTTTACATGACAAGGAGTAGGGTTGCCTGTCCAACCTTGTGGTTTCACTCCCGGTCCTCCGGTTTCTTCCCACTGCTAAAGACCCCTACACACTAGCAAATTATTAAAATAAAATTGAACCATATGTTAGTCTCGAAATTACGTAGTTCCTGTCAAGTGGATGTTAAACCCCATTTCTCTCCCTCACTTATGACATCATGTACTTGAGATCCAACAAACTTTTTACCGATTTATTTGTACACGTGGAAAAACAAAAACGCACGAGGAAATGCGGTGACTTCTGCTGGCGAAAACACGTGGAAAATGGACCTTAGACTGGAGTTATTTTCATATAGACAAAAAATCCAAAATTTGATTTCTAATTTACTGGCCTGGAAATAACGATTGTAGTTGTAGGTGATAAAATGTCAGACAGTATTAGAGTTGTAACCAGATATTTTAAACTTTGTGCCGGACATTTATTAATAAATATCATTAAAAACACAAATTGTCAGGCTGTATGAGTAGTTGTATATTGGGCTGTATGAGTAGTTGTATATTGGGCTGTATGAGTAGTTGTATATTGGGCCGAAAATCTGTTACAAATATTAAAAACTCAAATAAAAATAAAATTGATGCCAGAAAAAATACAGATACCAAAATGATTGAGCCTGACGAAATTGTCTGTGACAGGTGCCATATTTCTCGGTTTTCAAATTTGTATAGAAATAATAACAGGATATGAGACTGAATTTGAAAGGAATCTGGAATTGGATACACTTCAATCAAACACCCCTCTTCCCCTCTAACCCTAACCTTTCCTCTCTAAGAAACGAAAGATCTGATTGTACATTTTAATATGATTTGAATTCAAGATAAAATATAAAATGAGCAAAATCTCTCCAGATGTGATGTATGTTTTAAAATCTCTCCATGTGTGATGTATGTTTTAAAATCTCTCCACATGTGATGTATGTTTTAAAATATCTCCACATGTGATGTATGTTTTAAAATATCTCCACATGTGATGTATGTTATAAAATAACTCCACATGTGATGTATGTTTTAAAATATCTCCACATGTGATGTTGGTTTTAAAATCTCTCTACATGTGATGTATATTTTAAAATCTCTCTACATGTGATGTCTGTTTTAAAATCTCGCCACGTGTGATGTATGTTTTAAAATCTCTCCACATGTGATGTATGTTTTAAAATATCTCCACATGTAATGTGTGTTTTAAAATCTCTCCACGTGTGATGTATGTTTTGATTCTCTGGAGATTGTGTTAACGCTGTAATAATTATAAAATTATTTTTTCCAATATAATTCATCTTCATCTCCCAAAATTACACACCATAGTCAATTTCATTTTATACAACATTTTACTCACCACCAATTACTTAGGTGCCAATTTGAATATGAATTAGGTTTATTAAAGGCTCAATACCACTCTTGTTGTAACTGAATATAATATGTCCCAATCTTTATTCTAGTCAACAAATTGTACTATTTTAGAATATTTCAATTAATTGATGATACAAATTTCATCTTAACACACCTTATTTAAAAAAATGGAAAAATTCAACTAAATGATTTGAAAAGCCTGACGTAAAGCTTTTCAAATGTGACTTGGATTTAAAAATATTTTTGAACCCTCTGGACAAGTAAAATAGGATTTAATGGATAATTTACATAACAGGTAGGACACTAACATATCTAGTACTTAGAATAAGGCTATTTTTTATTTTCTGGAGCTGTCAAGCCAGCAAGAGTGTTATTGTCCCTTTAATATGTATAACCAGCAATGGGGGAGGTGGCCATTTGGGTATGAAGTATGTGTATGCATATGTATTTCCACGAATAACTAATGTTCCAATTTGAATAATACATTTATTTGCCATCTTCTGATGATTGTCAAATAATTAGATTTTAAACAGAATTAAAACAGAAAGTTCACCCACAACTTTATAAACAGCTTTATTATTTCCAAAATATGTCAAATTTAACAAAAGAATAATGTGCATTCAGTATTATTTATTTTAAGGCTAAACCAATTTTTAATTTTTAGTCAATAAATAGTTATTTAAGTCTTATGAACAATGTTTTGGGTAATATTTTCGAACTAAAAGCCTTTGGGAAGAGCAACTAAGAATTTTTAAGTATTTTTTTGGACAGAAGAAATGGGAAGATATTTTTTTTTTAATAGGTTTTCCCGAAGAAGAAATATTTAAATTAGTTTGGTCTAATCTATAGCCTCTCCATCGATCTAAATATTAAGGCCACTTGCAGATTTCGTCAGGTCAAAAGATGTAAACAGGGCTAGCGCTAACCCTAACCCTAACCCACAATCCTGTCAACAATCACATGCCCTAACCCTATTTACATCTCGCAACCTTAATATTAAGATGTCCAACCTCGTTGGTTTTCTCCGGGTCCTCTGGTTTCCTCCCACTGCTAAAGACCCCTACGTGCGGCGAGTTATTGAGGTAAAATTAAACCATATGTTGGTCCTGAAATGACCTAGTTTCTCTCTCTCCCTTAATATTAAGACCTGATGTAGTTAAAGCGAGATCAAGCCTTCTATTGAAGATGTAGACATCCCAGTCCATCCTTGTGTTAAATGTTCAGATGGTTGTGATTTTTTATCTTTAGGAAATAAATTGGATGTTATTTATTGATATATTTTATATGTTTTAAATTGTGAGAATTATTCTGTTCTACAGGAAATTATTGCTTTCATGAATTATTGGTAAAGTTATTTGAGTCATTTATAATTAAATATGTGACACCACAGCCTAATACGTGATGGGAGAGGGGGATTGCTGAATGGCTAGCACATGTGCATTATATCATAAGGTCTGTCATTTTTAAGTCAACTGAGGCATGGTTTTCGATTCCCTGGTTGTACGTGACAGTAGGATCGCCTGTCCAACTTCGTGGGTTTTCTTTGGGTCCTTTGGTTTCCACCCACTGCTAAAGACCCCTACCCGAATTAGTGATATAAGAAGTAAAATATATTAGTCCCGAAATGACCTAGTTTGTATCAAGTGGAGGTTACCCCCCCCCCCTCTCTCTCTCTTTCTCTGTGTCAATTTACATGACATAGATTTAGAATTATAAAGAATTTCACCTTAAAAGGTTAAAACATAATAAAAACAGGTGTAAAAACTTGGAAAAAATGTCTGACTGAGGTAAACACAATAGTCAAAAGTTGACCAGCTTTCATGGCAACAGGTGTAGTGAAAACCATTTCAATACCAAATTGTTTTACTGGAAATTTAAAGATGCATTATGTAAGAGCTCAATCTGCCTATTACAGATCTTTCATTTGGCCTGTTATATATATAAATCATTAATTAGACGTTTATTCACGTACCAAACCCATCTTCAACTCTCTAAACCATCGGATGGTTGTGATTGTCAGTGGATTCAAACATGATTGTCCGTTAATAATTTAATTAAAAAATTGGATAATCAAGACTTTGTTTATTATCATAACGACGGTAGCAATAACAATCGAAACTACACTGTTCTTCAAACGGCCATAACTCCGCTCAGAATGAAGTATGTTAATTCAAATTTTCAACAAATTCCCTTTTCGTCATCTATTTTTGAACTATTATAGCAAGAACTGCCAGTTCTTTATCTAAATATTACATAATGCATCTTTAAAAATAGTTCTATTTTATAAAGCAATAATTTTCTGTTGTGAATTCATCATGATGTCTATAGATTATAAAAGTCGAATTATTTTTCATTGTTTGATATTTCCTTCATATTTATTTATTAAAATTGTGATAAATGAGAGAACAATGTTCGTGAGTTTTATTTGTTGGGGTTTATTTTGTTGTACATCTTCATTTAGACAATTTGAGGGATTGGATGGCCGAATGGTTAGCAGGTGCGCGCTGTATCATAAAGCCTGTCATTGAGTCAACTGGCGTGGTTTCGAAACCCCGGTTGTACGTGACAAGGAGTAGGGTCGTCTGTCCAACCTCGTGGGTTTTCTCAGGGTCCTCCGGTTTCCTCCCAATGCTAAATACCCTTACGCGCAAGCGAATTATTGAAATAAAATTAAACCATATGTTAGTCCCGAAATGATCTAGTTTGTGTCGAGTGGACCTTAATCCCCATTTCTCTCTCTCTCTCTCCCATTTAGACAAGTTAAAGAGACAACAGTCATTTGAACGCTCATCATCATTTGTGGCTCAGTGAGTAAGAGATTGACTGGCTAACCTGGATGTCCCGTGTTCGAGACCTGTGTTGACCAAGAAAGTTCGTGATTATCCAGTGTTGTTCCTCCTTTTTAGTAGTGTAGGGACAATGTATATACAGTTCGGAGGAAATGAAATGGGTTTTAACGTCCTACTGTTCTGCTCCTAACCTAATGAAGACGACATACGCCACACAGTGTACTATGACTATGAGGGAAATTTTGCCCAGGCAGCGGCGCTACAGCCTTCTCTTATATGGAATGCCAACTGCCAAGGGATCTTTTATGTGCACGCCATCCTTTTCTATGGAATAAACTACCAAAGTCATTGTAACAATTAAAGTCTGTGAGCCATTTTAAATCTCAACTCAGAACAATCTTGTTTTTTAATTATTATTATTATTATTATTATTCCATTCATTTCAAGTTTCCACAACAAACAAACAAGTCACTGTATAGGATGAGGATACAATGTCAAGACATGCATGTATGATAATGATAGACTACATGGTGACTGTTCTTCCAGATGTTATGGTATGCCGAAACTTGGATGTTCATTGAAAATTATCCTCACAGACATTAAAGGACAATATTGGTGCCAGTCATTATCACATATGTGATAGAACTAATTAAACACGTTCCAAATATAATTTTAACTCGGAGATCATTGCTACGATAGCATTCGGCAAACCTCGATAGATTCAACGCATCTAATCTCGGCTGTATGACGAATTCCGCCATATTGGAACTATTTTAAAGGTCCCGGATGAAAAATGGCTGCGCCCATGGGGATTTCTGTGGAGAGTGTATTATATCAACAAACGTCAAGTTTGGCATTGGGTTTGGGGAATTACCAGGGAATTATATCAAACCAGCAGCTTCGAGACAATATCTCTGCTCGTTTAGTTATATACACTCGACAAAAGACGCCATTTTTGGGACTTTTTTGTAAAAGCGGCACGTTTTCCTGTTAAAGTAAACCGGTAGCCGCATCGCAAATGTATGGGCGTAGGTACATATCAATTACTATCATACAGCCGAGGTTAGATGTAGGGTACCGGAATCTGCCGAGATTTGCCGAGTGCTACGATAGCTGAGTTACCGGTGCCGCATCGCAATTGTATAGGCGTAGGTACATATCACTTACTGTCATACAGCCGAGGCTTGATGTTCGCCCATTCGGACATGGTGACTTTGAGATGAAATTACTTGGATACGCCTTTCAATAAAACTATTTAATGTATGCCGTAAATTAGCCAACTCCACTGTCTTTAATCTAGTATGGTCTGCGGCAGTGGTTCTCAACCCTTTTGTGCCAACGGCACACCTTGAAACACATGAAAAAACAGCGACACACCCGACTTAATATATATGAAAAATATTTGATTTTTTGCAAAATAAAAAACATGGCAAATCATAGACGGCATACAACTGTAGCCACAGACTAGTCATAGACACATAGTATGGCTCAAACTAAACGGCACACACAGGAAGATCTCGTGGCACACCTGTGTGCCATGAGAATCACTGGTCTACGGTAACGTAGCTTCAAAAGTTATCGAGATATGTTGGTTTCATTAAAAATGGTGCGAACTAGCCCCGCTCTCCCCTATAGAATGAATATAAACAAGGGAATGTACGGACTATTTCTATTTTTCTCGTGTTCTCTTATCTAATGACATTCAATTACTGTATTGAATTGTCAGCTATCCTCTTACAGTCCCATATAACAACTTTTGGTCTCCGAAGGAATTATTAGTGAGCAGAAATTCGCCCATGTATCTGTTATCAGTCGGTACTTCAGCCAGTTATATAGAGGTATGTCCCGTGTTTTCCTTTGGCGTTCGTCACTTCCGATTCGCGAATCCTGTATTACTCAGCTATCGTAGCAGTGATCTCTCTGTTCAAGTAGCTAAGTCTCTAACTCAATATCATCAAAAATCTTCAACATTGAAAAAACGAATTATTTGTCAATTTAAATCAACATTGGTCTTGTGATCTTAAAAGGAAAAGATGGGCTTCTGATATCCAATATTCAAGACAAAATAAACATTTAACCATTGGTACACGAATCGTGTACCATAATGCGTTTCAGTAAATTCTTATCTGGAGAGCATGCGCAATAAATACCATCGGTGTAGACGGGAATAACCAGACGCTAAAGATTGTTGTTCAATTGAAACTTCTGGCGCATTTCGCCGAACATAACTGATTAGAAATTACAATAAAAACAGAAACGATTGAATGTAAATCAGTTTATATACATTCATATTACATTATTATATGTGTTGCGACCCATTTGTGTCAATTTCTTGGTCCCATATTTTAGCGATTTAGCTCCTTTAAAATTATATTTGGAATGTATTTAACCAGTTCTATCACATATGCAATAATGACTGGCACCAATATTGTCCTTTAAATAATGATTTATGATGCATTTAAAATATTATGTCAACACAGCTTGCTCTCGGAAGGTAGGGTCTATAATTAACGTTCTAATTATAACGGCTAATTGCAATCTTGTAGTCAATCCGTCAACAACACAAAATTTTAACTAATTTGGATTTTTATCTTAGTTAAAATTTCGTGAAACAGGCCCTTGGTTAGAACAGCTACTTGCAATCTTTTAGTCAATCCGTTATTTTAAAGCTTAGTCGACACTACAAGCCATTCATAGTTTGATAGTCAATCCGTTAGTTTATCAGCAACATGGCTGCTTTTAGACAAGGTTATTTTTTTATTTTCTTTCATTCCACATAAACAAATCCTCTGATACAAATATTGCAAATTTGTTCATCCTCACATCTTTTTATTTATATTGTCAGTTGATGCCGCTGTCCTGTATAATCCATCAGACATTCGATAAAATGAAAATTTCGAAGTTATTCTCCAAATTTTCAAGTTTTTTCTATAGTATACTGTATAGGCCTATATATTTATATTTTTATTATCGATAATCTCCCACATTAAGAACACGAATTATAATTTATATATTGGTCCATTTCAATCAATATTGATAGCTTATATAGGTTCATGATCTAGTATTTTTCATAAAGACATAAAATAAAATATAAACATTTTCTTAATTAACTAATTTAAGATCAGTCTGGGACTTCGTTTTCTCAAGGCGCTGAGGTCGAGGGGGTCACGGTGGCTAAGTGAGTAAGACACTGGCTCACTAGCCTGGAGGTCGGGTGTTCGATCCCAGCATATTCCGAGAAAGTTCATCCAGACTTTCCAGCGTGGTTTGGCCCTTGTCAGTGATGCAGGACGGACGGTCTAACAAGGACAGCTGTCTAGTCATTCGGATGGGACGAAAAACTGTGGTCCCGTGTACACATTGGCATGCACATAAAAGATCCCTTGACAGTTGGAATTCGAAATAAGAGTAGGCCGTAGTGCCGCTGTCGGGGCAAAATTTCCCTCATAGCCCACTGTATGTTGGTGCAGAACTGTTTAAAACTAAATGTTAAATATAGGAATTCCATCTAAAACATGACACTCAAGTTGTAGTGTAACATCAAACAGATAACAGAAAGATTTTTTTAATTGTCTCATACAAATGTACATGTAAAATAATAATTTATAAACGGTCCTAATTATGTTTCTTTCTTACCATCATAATTTATAGGTTCGTTGTTCATCCCAACATTTTCACAAGTTCGACATAAGCGAGTCAACATTCAAAAACCGAAAGTAGACAGATTACCCAGACGATTATTTGAGGCGTTGGTGAAACCAGTGTTTAAACCAAAAGGCTTAAAACCAGCCGATATTTGTGCTGGTAAAACTATGCAACTTTTACAAGAGACTAAAGAAGTAAGATATAAGACCATTATTCTTGAATGAATACAATAAGTATGTAACTCTGTGATATGAAATATTGCACACTCGTTCCGGGTTTCGAGTCTAGTTTCCTCTTATAATCCTTGAGTGGCATTTAGCGATTGTTTTTTACTTTCCTCTTGTTTGTGACACAATTCACAGTGTCTAGTCCTTCAGATTGGAACTTCCCCTGCATGACAGTTTTCCTGTCTTTTCATTAGCAAAAAAGTATGACATTAAACCACAATATTTCGTGTGATGTACGTTGATCATTGAGTTACGGGACAAGATCAAATTACATTATTTTGTTGTCTTCAACCTCAATGAAGAAGCTTTACAAAAACTGTTTTCAGATTTAAGTGTTTCAAACATTTTCTTTATATCTAACATTCTTGCAGGTTTCCAACGGGTCATCCCAATGCTAAAGCGATATTATTGAGATAAAATTGAACCATAGGTTAGTCCAAAAATGACCTAGTTTGTGTTGAGTAGACGTTAAACCCCTTTTATCTTTAAATTTTTAAATCTTGCCCCGCGGGCATACTAATCCATTCAAATCTTGTGGGCGTTCTAATCCATTTAAATCTATGCCATCTGTTGCTCTAGAGAGTTGGTGATAGTCATGTCATGTTAATAAATGTCTTAATAATAATTTCTATAACATTTAGGGGATCACGTGGCTAAGTGGGTAAGACGCTAGCTCGCTAGCCTGGAGGTCGGGTGTTCGATCCCTGCATTGGGCGAGAAAGTTCATCCAGATTTTCCGGCGTGATTCTCCCTTGTCAATGATGCAGGACGGAGGGGCTGACAAGGAAAGCTGTCTAGTCGTTCGGATGGGACGAAAAACCGAGGTCCCGTGTACAAACTGGCGTGCACATAAAAGATCCCTTGGCAGTTGGAATTCGATATAAGAGTAGGCCATAGTGCCGCTGTCCGGGCAAAATTTCCCTCATAGCACACTGTATGGCGTATGCCCGTCTTCATTAGCCCAGGTTAGGAGCAGAAAAGTAGGACATTAAACTCCATTTCATTTCATTTTCTATAACATTTAGGCCAAAATAAAGGCTTGCCATAGGCAGATTTAGCTCTTATGTATACATAATGTACATGTACTTTTAACTTGAGTAAAAAAAAAAATGAAATGGGGTTTAAGGTCCCGTTTTTCTACGACTGGGCTAATGAAGAAGGCTTAGTTTTTATGATATTTTTTTTCCAGGTGAATCCATACGAAGAGTTTCTGTTTCGTCGATGTTTAGAGATGTTTGAAAGGAGAAAAATGATAGCCGTGTGTCAGTCACTACCAGGTTCAGCGGAACAATTTAAAGCGATCAGAAATCAATTAATCAATAACGGAATGAATCTGGTTCACTTTAATAATAATTTAATGAGGTAACAGTTTATTGTACATGTAGTTGTTCGGATGGGACTAAAAACTGAGGTACCAAGTACACATTGGCATGTACGTAAAAGGACCCATGACAGTTGTAATTCGATATAAGAGTAGACCGTAGCGCTGCTGGTCGGGCAAAATTTCCCTCATAGTACACTGTATGGCGAGGTCCCGTGTATACATTGGGACTTTTATTTTGTTTATTATCTCTGGGATGACAGGATTGCTTATGTACCGTAACTTACCTGACATTGATTAGTTTTATTAACTCAATTTGTCGGGGTCAAATGGTTAAGGCATGTGCCGTGGATCAAGGGGCTGTCATGGAGTCAAGTGGCGGGGTTTCGATTCCCAGGTTGTACTTGACAAGAAGTAGGGTTGTCTGTTTAACCTTGTGAGTTTCCACTGGATCCTCCGGTGTCCTCCCACTGGACGTTAAATTCTCTCACTCTCTGTAACAGATTTGAAGTATGTAAATATGTCACTGTTTTTTATTATTTCAGACGGGCTGTAACAGATTCGAAGTATGTAAATATGTTACCGTTGTTTATTGGACATAATTATTATATTGTAAGTGATGATATTCAAATAAAGGAAATGGTCAAAGTAACGAAAAAAACATCACAACTTCACCTGATAGGTAAGATTTTATAATCTTAAAAGGATAATACAAACTTTCTGTCACGTCATGGATAATACTCACTTTCTGCCACGTCATGGATAATACAAACTTTCTGTCAGGTCATGGATAATACAAACTTTCTGTCACGTCATGGATAATACTCACTTTCTGTAACATCATGGATAATACAGTCTTTCTGTCAGGTCATGGATGATACAAACTTTCTGTCAGGTCATGGATAATACTCACTTTCTGTAACATCATGGATAATACTGTCTTTCTGTCCTGTCATATTTAGTCCTGCCATGGTTTGTCTTTCTGTCCCGTCATGGTTTATTTTGTCTTTCTGTCCATCACACTCTGATTCTAATTGAAGTGAATTGTTCAAACACATGGTTTAGAGTTTAGATGTTCATTAGTTGGATGTCTTGTCTGACGTCAATGGTTGGCATTTTCTGTTTAGGCTTTTTGGGAGCTGCGGTGGTTCAGTGACAAAATATTTGGCAGAAAGGTTTAATGCTTGAGCATTACATCATAAGGTCTGTCATTGAGTCAAGTGGTGACGTGAGGCAATAATCTCTAGCAGTGTGAGGCTGTAGTTTCTGGCCGTCCAGGTTACTTGAACTTCAAGTCTTGTCTCACATATATGTAAGAGGCACCAGAGGTTACATCCATTTCTGGGCGTTCCAGGAATGTTTATCCGCTAACGGTTTAAACATGCATTATGCAAGAGTTAAATCTGTCTATTGCAGGTCTTTCTTTAGACCTGTAATGTTATCTAAATTATTAATTAAACATTAATTAACTTATCCATACCATAATCAACTCTCGATGCCATCACTAACCTGCGATAATAAGCGATTTGGAATAACATTTTTGGAAAAATAGTAAAACGTAAAAGTGGTTAATCGAGACTTTGTTTTTTATCGTACCGACTTTAGTAATGATGATCGAGGCTTACCTAAAATTCAAAAGCTAATCTCCCATATCACCCCTTTAAGTCTGGGCACGAAACACTGTGACCCGGGTGTTATTTATCCCTTATTTCTGTTATATTCATTAAATCTTTGTATGAAAATTTGTAATTGTCACCCCAAATTCGCCCCAAATGATCTAATATGTGTCAAGTTGAAAGGTGACCGCTTAGTTTACAAGCATTTGATTTTTCGACAACTGTTGAAAATAACGTCCTATTTAATCATTATACATCAGTAATTAATTGGCTTTTTTATATTTGAACAGTGATTGGGAAATTAAATACTTGTAAATTGGACCCTCGTTATCTAAATACGCAAGATTAAATGATGGCACAGTGGCTAAGTGGGTAAGGCGCGTGCTCGCTAGCCTGGAGGTCGCGTGTTTGATCCCTGCATTGGCGGAGAATGTTCATCAGGATTATCTGACGTGGTTTCCCCTTGTCAGTGGTGCAGGAAGGAGGGTATGACAAGAATAGCTGTCTAGTCATTTGGATGGGACAAAAAAAAAAAAACGAGGTCCCGTGTATACATTGGCGTGCACGTAAAAGATCCTTTGGCAGTTGGAATTCGATATAACAGTAGGCCATGGTGCCGCTACCCAGACAAAATTTCCCTCATAGCACACTCATAGTCTGTCTTCATTAGTCGGAGCAGAACAGTAGGACATTAGAGTTTAATTTCGTGTGAAACGGGGATCGCATGAAAAGGGGGATTTCGACTACAATGTATAAGTAAATATCTCAGCCAACCATGACAGGTGAAACATATTCTGTGTGTTTATTTACGTTATGACTCTACTCGCACCACCTCTGGGGGATTGGATGGCTGAATGGTTAGCTTATGCGCCCTGTATCATAAAATTGAGTCAACTAGCATGGTTTTGAATCCCCGGTTGTACGTGACCTGGAGTAGGGTCACCTGTCCAACCTTGTGGGTTTTCTCCGGGTCCTCTGGTTTCCTCCCACTGCTAAAGACTCCTACGTGCAAGTGAATTATTGAAATAAAATTAAATAATGTGTTAGTCCCGAAATGACCTAGTTTGTAGCGAGTGGACGTTGAACCCTATCTTTCTCTCTCTCTCTCTCTCTCTCTCTCTCTCGCACCACCTCTGTTTTCATGACTGAGTGGAATGAATACCGCATCACTCGATTGTAATGTAGAACGTCTTCGCACTGACATGGAACATCCCCGCCTTGTGCATCATTACTAAACTAATGTTATTTTGTTTCCTTACAGGAGCTTTAATCGACAGCAGAATCTTAACACGAGATGAATTAATGTCAATAGCCAAACTACCAGATATAGAACAACTACGTGGAGAATTACTCACCATATTAGGACGTAGTGCATCAAACACTTATTCCTTATTAGGAAGTCATCAACAGACATTATCAGTAAATTTAGAACAATTGGTTAAACAGAAAAAAACTGATAGTCAATCTAATGTTAAAAAAAGTTGATCAATATTTTTCAAAACTTCGAGGAGTAAAAAATATGGATAGAAAAAACAGGTTGAATTTTTATAGTGCTACCATGTGAACATTTGATGATAGTGAAATTAAAAATTGAGAATCAAAGCATACATGGTTAATTAATTCAACTTGAAGTTAAACACATCTGATAGCTACTCTGATTATGACTTCATATATAGACAGGCGGATGGCAACCGCGGTCGATTTTCATGAGAAATAGCACGATACCTGGTGAACATGAAAACACGTGGCCTCCATTGTCAACTCCCACTGGGGGGAGTCAAATATTACTATTGGTTGAGAGGAATATCTTACACAGTTGACTATTGATTACGATGCACCTTAATCAATATTCGTCCATTAGGTGTATACTTTGTGTTTATGGCTAGAACGGACATTAAAATAATAATAGAATAATAAAAAAAACAAGCCAACAGTGTGGCTGATGTCCCCAGACGTAATCCCAAAATAATCAGATTAATTGCACATTTATCTTGTTCAAGAGTATCGAGCAATCAAACTGATTATCTATACTTAGTCTAAGCAGAACATGTTCACGATCAAACTCAGTCAAGGTTTTGAAGTAGGCCTACCTGGTAGAAAACTATAAACTAAGTTTTATCACAACTCCATCAGTTAGAATCCAAGTTATCTTTTCCTAAAGCACCAATTAATGAAACTGCTTAGCCCAGCTTAGCTTTAGTGGGAAATGTTAATCATTGAACTCAGTCACCTAATGCACATCTACATCAAGTGTAAACATTCTACCTCAATTAAAACAGAGTGGTTATGTTCCAAAACATCAACCAATCAAATTGCTTATCTCTGTTTACCCTAAGCAGAAGATGCTCATCTTCGAACTCCATCACAGTTTTCACCTAATAAATCCCTACACGGACGAACAGACAGACAGACAGACAGACAGACCCATTTTAATAGTCTCCTGCTTTCTTCCAAAGGCGGAGATAAAAACTCGTGTGTTTGACAAAGAGTTTACAATCTCCTGATTTAAATATTGAAAGGCATTGACCTGATCGAAGTAACCTATAGGCTGTAACGTCAGTTTAGTACGCGATTTCCTTAATTCCTGTATTGATAACAGCATAGTATAATATTTGATTATTGTCGACATATCATTTATTATTATCGTCAACTTATGTAACAAACCATTTAACAGGGCCGGCGGAAGAAAATCTTGATCAGTGTGTGCGGGGGGGGGGTGTACCATCCTTGGGGTCTAGATCGTTTTCCGGCTAATAAAATTACTCAGCATTGATGTGAAATTTTATTTCCTTTCTGAATCCCTTACCATGCAAACACAGTCGATGGTGGTTTCCTGCGATACCCAACTTTACAAATATATGCATAATAATACCAAGCTTGTGGACACTCTAGAGGTCACAATTTTTATACTATTTTGATGAAATTGACAATGTATGTTTATAAACGAAAGATGTTGGTTTCTGTCGATATTGGCTCATATAGGACTATCACTTCCTAAATATACATGTTTTAGCTTGTGGACTCTCTAGAGCTCACAGTTTTTACTTCATTGTAAAAACCGTTCAAACATATCACTGTTACACCATAATGACAGTAGAGTGCAAAGTTCGTGAAAATCGGATACAAACTGCCCGACAAAATGGTCGCTACCGTTAAAAGTATGTAATACCAAGCTTGTGTAACACCCAGAGGTTCGAATATTCATCCAATTTGATATATTGGTGCGTATTGGACCATAACTTCCTGGATTATGACCCAAGAGAGGCACGTTGTTCTTTGGTGTAGTATTGCGTCCAATGGAAAGGGTGCCAAAGCTGCCCAGTGGGGTAACAGATTCTTTCCCCATTGGGTAAGGACATCCATTGGGTGCCTGATTTGTTCCAGGCAGCTGCCCTCTTGTCCCCCCCCCCCCCACCCCGCTAGCTACGGGCCCTGAGGCGACAGGTTTTGTCCGATTCATGAGATTAAACTTAAACTATATGTTAAGGATCAAACGTTCTTGGATGAGTTCGACTTTGGTACGCATCAGACCATACATTCTAGAGCTATAGCCCCTGCTTTTCACGTCAAATCGGAAATATGTACGAATTTAGCTGGCCCTTGCAGGACCTACAACTGTTCCAATCTGAGGAAACTTAAACAAATATGTTAAGGATCAAAAGATCTTGAATGACAGGATGAGCCTTATCAATTTTACCTCTTCCCCATACATTTCTTGCAAAATGTGGGTATATCATGCATGACAACTGATTGTTTCAACTGGTCATAACTGATAGCAGTGAATTATTTGATGGATAAGGGACACAAGGAAAGAGTGTGAGAAAATGTCTATCCCCTCGTTTTTTTTAATTACCCAATCTGTCATAGATACAATTGGGTTGAGATGGGGTTGAAAATCGACTGTTCGGTTAACTAATCGTGACCCTCGCAACTGGGGGTTTCTCAACCGAGGGATCAGTACAGAGCTTAGCGGGATTTTCTGCTGAAAGTTTACGTTCTAGAAGTCTCACTTCTATGTTAAAATCAGGCGTTGTTTTATCTAACAGCGTGTCATAACCCTGAGTAAGAAGTACTTGCGCCCCTCCCCCCCTCCCCACCGACACCCCGCCGACACCCCGCCGGGCCAGAGCAATTAGATTGTATATATATACTATTCAAAAAAAGTAGGGGATATTTGATTTTGGGGGCATAATACTAAAATATGCAAATGACTACGAAAAAAGTCACTATAGAACCTAACAGAAGAAACATTTCCAGTTACACGTGACGCCCAAACGCACCAATAGCTACCGCATGGAATGCAGGTGATGCTTGGGATCATCATGGGGGTCCAACCCAAGATTTGCACGACTCTGACTTTGAATGTTACAGTCATTGTGGCATTGAATTCCAGGGTGGAAACATCAGTTTAATTGTTTTAGTGACCAGAAAACAAATTTTGATATGCGTCGGCTTACCCAAAATGAAAGGTTACGTGCCCTTGGCATGCTACAGATCGGCACAACACAGGCGGTTGTGGCGCGGACGATGAATGTTTCTCAGTCTGTCATAAGCAGGCTATGGTCCAGATACCGTGATACACAATCTGTACAGGACAGACCACGCTCAGGTCGACCAAGGGCGACAACTCAAGCCCAGGATCGATTTATCCGTACCTTGGCCTTGAGAAATCGTGTCATCACAGCAAATCAGATCAGCGCTCGTCTTCAAACAGACACTGGTGTGAGAGTGAGTGGCCAGACGATTCGGAATCGACTGCATAGGGGTCACCTTTGCGCCCGACGTCCTCGCGTGATCCCTTGTTTGAGAGATCATCACATTCAGGCAAGACGTCGTTGGTGTAGGGATCGTCAACACTGGGATAATCGACGCTGGAGCAATGTGATGTTTTCAGATGAGTCAAGGTTCACTGTTGATTTTTTGGACAGACGTAGGAGGGTGTGGCGTCGTCGAAACGAGTGCTTCCAAGACGTTAACGTCATCAGACATGATCGATTTGGGGGTGGTTCTGTTATGGTGTGGGGAGGCATCACTGTTGCTGGAAGAACGGCTTTACATGTTGTTGCAGGGCGTGTTACGGGCCAGTACTACCGGGACAACATCTTGGCAGTCCATGTTGTGCCGTTCGCACGACGTCATGGCCGCCGTTTCATCTTCCAGGATGACAACGCAAGATGTCACAGGGCCAGGATCGTTACAGGTTACCTCCAACAACAGAACATCACCACATTACCTTGGCCAGCACTGAGTCCCGACCTCTCCCCCATCGAGCATGTCTGGGACATGCTTGGACAGAGGTTACGTCAACGTCAACAACGTCCTGCCAATGTCCAAGAACTTGCTGCTGCGTTGCAACAGGAATGGGACAATCTGGACCAAAATGACCGTAGACGTCTCATTAGGAGTATGCCACGTCGGATCAATGCTTGTTTGGCAAACAGAGGAGGATTTACCCGTTACTGACTTGGTTGTGATGCTGTGGTAACTTTGCTGTTTGACCCCGGGTATCATTTTACCCTTATAATGGTCAGTCTGTGCCTTACTTAGTCTAACGATCATTTGGAATAAATCGATGAATGTGAACTTCATTTCATTTTGTCATTTGTTTCTTCGTCAGTTTCATTAGGTGACTTTAATAACACTTAAAAATCAAATATCCCCTACTTTTTTTGAATAGTATATGAAGATATGTAAATAGTGTTTCATCAATCTCGGTATGAATATAGCAAGTCTGCTATTATAGCTCTTGGCATCCGTGTCTTGTTTATCCTCTCCCCCTCCCCATAATTTGCTACAGTATTCTTTCCTATACATAACCGTAGAATTTTCTACAGAAAACACTATAACAACATCTTTAAAATGCTATAGTATTTTCCCATAGAACATTTCCCATAAATATGTAGAAAAAAACCCCATAGAGTTTAAATTACAGAAACTAGAATATTTGTGCCGTTATTTCCTACAGGTCCCCAAATTTCTGTAGAATACTATAGAATTTCATCATATAGAAAAAGAGAATTGTTGTACACAGATGCCTGGTCCAAATCCCTTATAGCTTCTGGTTACTAACGGTCATTATATTTAAATCAACCTTCGAGAATAGGCCACAATGTATATCTTGAAACACCAACCGCGAACATTTTAGAAGTGGAGATCGAAAACCAAGCCGGGAATAATTGCATTATTTTCTAGAAATTTGTCATATATTAAGTTTGGGGATGACGAAATTAATATCATAATGCTGCTTGTTTATCGTATATTTCAGACAGCTGGTGTATTGTTCTCTAAAGTGATGTTCAAATTGATAAAATCAATTTCAACCATGTAAATTTTTATCATAAAATGAATCAATATTAGATGGTTCAAGCTGAACAATATTTTTGATCCGACTGGTTGGAAAATCATTTTGAAGAACTCAACTTTTCGCCAAATTTAAGAGGAATCTTAAATTCCAGAACAAAGGGGCCCATGGTACTAAGAAGCAGCGCCATAAAAAAAATCACTCATACGGAATATGTCCCAATTTGTTACTAAACAAAAACTGAATGGGAAGATAATACGAAAATATTTTGTTGATATCTGATCGTTTCAACCCAAACAAC